TCAACAGGTGACCGATCACTATCTGTAGCCAACTAATCAATATCACGCAACATAATAGGTTATGTTCCCAACTCTGCCTGTAACACATCATCCATACCATCTCTTCGAATCTGCACTTCACTCATCATCTCCCCCTGAAGTGGAGAGTCGGAAGAGGGCTTCACAAAATATGAAACTTCCTCATGGAAGGTGACATCCATGGTAATATAAGTTTTTTGAGTCGAATGATGATAACACTTATAGCCTTTTTTATTGTTAGCATACCCAATAAAGACACACCGGAGAGCATATGCATCAAGTTTACTCCGCTAATGAGAGTAGACATATACATACGCAATACACCCAAACACTTTCGGAGGAAGCTTTGATACAGAAACAAGAGAAACATGTTTTTGTAGCACATCAAATGGTGTCTAAAAATCAAGAACCCTACTTGGAACACGATTGACAAATACACAACAGCTAAAACAGCATGACCCTACACATCAGAATGTATCAAATCAAATGGCAAAATGGCTTTAGAATCACTTACGGAAAAGGAAGCACGATGACTCTTAGCCATGAAACATGTTTCACACTTGAACTCTGAATCACTACAAGTGCGAAACAAAGAAAGAAATAGATGCTTCATATAACTGAATGATGGATGTCCCAATCGTCGATGCCACAACCAAATTTGATGTCTGTCATCCACTTTAGCACTTAAAACTTGATGATTATTTGAACCGGAAACAACAGTATCCTTCATAGTCAAGATGTAAAAACCCCATATTATTTTACCATGACCAATTGTCTTCTGAGTTTGAATGTCTTGAAAATAACAATACGTAGGGTAGAAGTGAGTAGAACAATATAAGGTATCAAGAAGTTTTCCAACCAACAAAAGATTGCACTTAACATCAGGAACAAGTAAAGCACGAACCAATGATAAGGTTGGAGTCAGAGAGATAGTGCCTTCACCCTTCACAGGAGAAAGTGCTCCATTTGCACTAGCAATATACGGATCACAAACATAATCACATAACTCATCAAACACTCTAGGGTCACTAGTCACTTGATCAGTGGCCCCAGTATCAATTATCCATTTATTTGTTCCACCAAGATGCATAACAATAATATGATTATATTGAGTCATTGAACAAAATCACGAACAATAAAGGCACAAAAGATACGCAACAGAATGAAAACAATTTACCATAACACTGTAGCAATCACTGTTCACGGCACTGCAGCAGACTATTCACAGCACTGTAGCAATCAATGTTTACGGTACTGTAGAGGATCACTGTTCACAAGCAGATCACGAACTGTAGCAAGTGTTGTACTGTAGCGCGACACTATTCACTTTTTTTTTTTTTTCATGAAGGAAATCACAAAAAATGTGGGCACAAAATTAAAGCACACAGGTCACCAAGAGCGAACTGCTCTGATGCCATATTAAACTAAACATGGTAAATACCAAAAATATATATGACAATATTTGAGATTTTCTTATATATTCATTAATCTACAAAGTGGAGTATATATAGAAGTTACAATTGGCATTATATATGTTCTTCACTAATGTGGGACAATAAACTACTATTTACACTTTAACTAATATATAATTCGCAACACTCTCTTCTCCGTGCCTTGTGTTGTAAGCCAAAAGTCTTAAAGTCTCTCTCATTGTATAAAAAAAAATAATAATAATTGCTGGAAGAAGAAGAAGAATAGGTTCCTTCCCCATAGCTAAAACCCTTGTATTAAGAAAATCCTCATTTTGCCCTTTTTGTTTTCTTGGTTGTTCATGTGTCCTTATGATTCATTCCAATCTTGTTCTCTGTGTTATATAACAGAAAAGGTGGTATTCTTTTACTGGTGTGCTGTTGTTGTTGCCCTAACTTCTTCATTTTATATACAAAGATATTATATGTGTTATATGTATTTTTGTGATCGAAGTGTGGGGATGCAAACCCTATAAATCATAAGTTTGTGAATCTTCTGTTCTACATAGGTTGAAACCTTTCTACCATTTTCAATTATTCAGGGTTTTAGGGTGGACCTTTCTTCTGCAGATTTGTCTTCTATTGATCCACCATCACCAATGCGGCCGAACCGATCAAACCGACTGACCAACCGCTCAGGCCGGCTGATTTTGGTTTGGTCTTGATAAAGAAAAGACATAAGTGTTTTGGTTTGGTTGATTTTCTGTAATTAGGTTGATCGTCGTTTTGGGATTAAACCAGTCCAATTCAGATCGTGCCCCCTACTTCAAACTCAAAAGGGTTAATGGTTGTGTTTGTTAATTGGTGGAAATGTTTTTGCAACTAATTCTTAAGTAAAATGCAAGTGGATCTTAGAAAAGCACTGGATGTGCTTCCTGCAAGAAGCACCAGTTATAAGTGCTTAAAATGTTTGTCGAACCCAAAAACAATTTATCTAAAAATCAGTTATTTAAAGAACTTCCAAACGAGTCCTAAATTTTTTGTTAAAAACCAAAACACTTGAAAGTACTTCCTAAAATAACATCTAGCAAATACTTCTCCAAAATGCATTTATATGAGAGAAAAAATTTGCTCGTTTGGATGTGCTTTTAAAATGAATGAAAGCGTTTTTGGTGAAAATGTTTTTGGAACCAATCCTTAGTAAAAATGCAAGTAAATTCTTGAAAAGCACTTAAAGTGCTTCCTGAAAGAAGCACATAACTGGTGCTTCTTGCATAAAGCACTTTAAGTGCTTTTGGAACCAAAAAATATTTTCTCTAAAAATGCTTTCAGTAATTTTAAAAGCACATCGATCAAAAAGCACTTTTAGAAGCAAACCAAAGAGTACCCAAAAAAAAAATCAATATTTCCTTTTATTTGAAGTCAGTGTTTATGGGCCAACTTTCCTTTTATTTGCATGAGGAAATCCGAACTCACACAATTTTATTGGGCGTCCCGTTTTGGGTCGCTTGTTTCACACGAAATAAATAATTTATAATATCTTGGGCTCGAAACCTAGTCCATAGTCTTTCCTAAATTTGTTTTCGCAATTCTCCACCTACAGAAAATACGCAGGGAAAAGGGACCTTTGCAAATCGATCATCACAAACCCTGGAAACTTACAATACCAAGCAGAAGCAGCAGCGACAGTCTTCAAACACAGACATGGCCATACCGCCAGATAGAGAAGAAGATCACAATTATCATCGTGAGATGCCCGAGGAAGGTCACAAAGAGGCACGGTCCAACGTGATCAAGCGAAAGAGATGTTCCGATGACTTCGTAAATGATGTAGCACTCGCAGAAGACAACGATGATGGCAACTTGGGTTTGGAATTGGAAATTGGTGTTTGTGGTGGTGGTGAGAAACGTCGCAAGGGAAAGAGATGTTCCGATGACTTCGTAAACCATGTTGCGCTTGTAGATGATGATGATGATGGAAGCTTATTGGATTTGGAATTGGAAATTGGTGTTGGTGGTGGTGGTGGTGAGAGTCGTCCTAAGTGGAAAAGAGGTTCAGAATTCGTAAACAACGTTGCACTCGCAGTCAATGACGATGATGGCAGCTTAGGTTTGGAATTGGAAGTTGGTTGTGGTGGTGGTGGTGCGAGTCGTCGTAAGCGAAAGAGATGTTCTGACTTCATAAACCACGTCGGACTCGCAGATGACTACCGTGATGACCAATTGGGTTTGGAATTGGCAGTTGTTGGTGATGGTGGTGAGAGCCGTAGTAAGCGTAGGAGGGTTTGTCTTGATTTGAATAAAGTTTATGACTCTGATCAAGATGAAGATTCTGAAAAGCAAGATCATGTCGAAGAAGCCGCTGCTTTAATGAGCCCATGTTCATCGTCTGGAAATTATACAGAATACTATGATGAACATGATAAAGGACCCGATTGGGAACAAGAGGTGAACCAAGATGATCCTCCTAAACATGGTGATGATCATGTTGAAGAATTAGCAGCTGTAGTAGTAGTACCCGATGAAACAAGTACTAACCATCTTGATCAACATGAACATGGGGGGCTCGGAACCACAGGTATTGAATGGGATCATTGTGATTGCGATTCCAATCAATATCTTGGATCACCTGATAATGATGAGGAAGTAATTAGAGGGTATACTTTCAGCGGAGGAGACGATCTATCTGCTGCTGCTTCGGATGAAGATCCTGAGGCAAAACTCCAAGTGAAGCCTTTTAAATTTTTACCAGACTTAAACGAATTCCCCCCAAGCGATCACGCGCCTAAGTTTCCTTTTATGACAGACCTACACATGTCCTTAGTTTGATAAATTAGTATAAGATACTACTAAGTAAGAGCCTTTATTCAAGTTTTACATTTGAAATTGTTCTTTCGATCGGTTCCTCTTTCAGATGTAAAAGCCTTGGTTATATTCATATCATTCTGACAATATTTTGATCCAGTTATTTGTTGTTTTACATGAATATGGTATGATTAATGTTATTAGTTCCAAATAACATCAACATGAATACAAGCTTTTTGTTTTTGATCTTGTTGCTAGCTAGCCTGTTTGAGCCGTTGAGGATTTGGTGGATAGCAAGGTCCGTAATTGGGAAGAAGTTTTGATCACGACCAACGTCCAAAGCCACCTCACAGTAGAGAAATCATTGTTGAATTTGCAGCTGACAATGGAGCTTAAAAATATGTACACAACAAATGGAGGTCGAAGATCAACCTTTTCTCGCAAAATAAAAGCTCTCACTAAATCATCCTATATATACTAAGAAGAGTACGTAATATCTCTGAAAAAATAAAAAAAAGAAGAGTACACAATACTTCCAAAATAATTAGCTTTTGATAATTTTACACATACTAGTAAAAATACCTAGATGATGTTTGAATTATATTCACCACTATATGGTGTTGTGAGGTCACTTATGCCCGCTCTAAACTACTTAGATTAGTAGGGTGTTCCATCCATAATAAGTGGGTAGCAAACAAACAAACACACATTTGGAATCCACGTAAAATATCTAAATGATTAAAAGTCTCGGAGTTTGTCCCCGATTAATTAATCAACAAAATTGCCGTCGCACAAGTCTATAAGTTCTTTCACATGCAACCTCCAACTGCAAATTCAAATAGTTCTATTCAAAACAGTAACAAACAAGGTTTTTTATTTGGTTGTAATTAAAAAGTGCAGGTGTTTACCTTTAATTGATAGTTTCCTCAAAACTAATTGTGTTTACCAAGATTTCTTTTGAATTGATAAACCCTCCCGATCCAAAGCAGGTGCCATCCGACGCAAGGAGTTCCTCAAGGTGGAGTCGCTCACCAACGTTGGAGAAGTTATGATTACCTGAAGATTCTTCAGACTAGGTAGGGGTGGAAACAAGGTAGTACTGCTCCTTCTGAGTTCTTTTGGAACAATGATCGTCTACCATTCCATTCACAACATCAGTAACGATTTTACAACTTGGAACAACACATAGACAATAATAAGAGAGGAGTGTTTGAACTAAAGAATTGATATATAAATAGGCTTACTTATAAAATACCCCGTGAACAATACCCTAAATATATCACTTTACTCCTGCTTTTACAACTGAATCACTCTCTCAGTTCGTGAACTTCATCCATTGACTCGTTAAATTTTGATTACAGGACAGTCAATATGTCATCGATTTGTCATATTATTGTTATCAGGTCGATATAATAGATCAATAGTTAACGGTCAATGGATGGAGTTGACGAACAGGGTAATGTGAGATATGGAATGAAGTTCATGGGGGATTGTGATACAGTTGAAATGCCATCGGATAGATGTGATATTTTTGTGATAATTTAAGGGGCATTTTAATAGTTAAGCCATATAAATACCTCAGCATCCATAACATGTAAGCTCATTTTTCCGGAGCAGTCAAACTGACCAAGAAAATTTCTCATTTTAGGATTGTGCGGGAATGTGTTGAAATAAGAATCCGCTCTGTCCCCAAGTATGATGGTAGCCTCAGATAATTTTGGAGCATTCAAAGAAAATCCAGTCTGCCAATAACCAATGAACTCACAAGAACGTAGCTTTGGAGTTTCAATAATTGTACCACGTCTCTCATTGAAATCATCGTTTCCGCTCACATGATGAACACTATCACCCAATCTAAAAGATTCAAGATTCGCAGCTTTTACTGTAAGCTCGTATTCTGTGAAACCCCTTATTACTTCCAAAGACTTTAGGCTGGAACTTGAAACATCAACCCTCGATAGGCCGCCACATGAGTCAATTGACAAATTCTCAATTGAAGGGCACCCCAAAATCAATTTGACGAATGCAAACTCGTCCACGAGCACTTCTTTGAGGGACATAGATTTCAAAGAAGGAAGTCTTACATGTTGAAAGCCCCAACCCCAACTTATTGCCACAGACTCCAGGTTCAAACTAGTTAAGGATTTTGCGTTGAGAACCGTATGGGGTAAGTTGTATAGAGGATAGGACAAGTTATGGGTTGTATATAGGCTCAAATCTAACTGTTTAACGTTTTTCCAAATAGCAAAACTCAAGCACTGGTTGATGAGATTTTCGTATCCATAGTATCTCGTACGAAGCCTGAATTTATCTAAGTATTCTTGCTTATGATCTTTCTCATGGCGCCTCAAACAATTTGTCACGAAATATTCGAACTTATCATGTTGAAATACATGATCACCATGTTGCTCTTCCTCGTCGAAATCTAATAAGGGAATTAAAGACCATACCCTTTCCCACTGCTTGGAGAGTATGCTGGCCCGTATGGCATATCTGGTGGAAAGGAGTTGGAGAATCTGGCAGATAACAAGATCAGGTAACTCGGGTGTACTTTTGACCATGGCGGCATATTGTTCTTGATATTCTTGCGTTTTGTCTTCCATGTTGAGATTGTTATCCATGTTTGCGTTGTTGCTACCTGTTTTGTCTTCCTTGCGTTCTGCCTTTGATCTTCTTGCTGTTTCTTTGCTCATCTTCTTCAAGATCAAGACTCCGAATAAAGTAGATTGAAATATTTTGTAGGGCTAAATTTTTTTGTTGCACGTTATGGCTTAATCATGAATAAGTTTGGATATTGAGCCCTATATATTTCATCGACATCTAGAATCCTTATGAGATGTGAATTAAGAATTACATGATGCTGAGGAGTCATGCTAATCTCTTTAATATAAAGTTGAATTTTAATAGAGTTGAATATCATGAGTGCTCGATGAACAAGATTAACAAAATAATAGGAATATTATTAAACAAACAAGAATGTCGAAACGGCTACAAAACCCTAAGAGGCTACATTGTGACTAACTTAATTATTTCTCAAACTAAATTACAAGCAATATTTATAGAGAACTAAACTTAAGAAACCCTAACTCGGATGGGCTAGGCCCAAATCCTAAACTAACAAGTAAAACCCAAATACTAATATTTTCTAACAAATAGGACTGTATCAATATGTGTAAGGAGGTTCATGATCTAATATAGTAATTTACGTTCATATCACTCTAGTTCCTATTTGTTAGTTAAACGTCATAATACCATAACCTGTTCAATAAGGAGTACAACTTGTTCAAAAACCAAATAACTAATTTGCATATAGCTGTGAAAGAATTTTTTTTAATAATTTGAAGATTTGGGCTTAGCCAAATTGGCTAGAGTAGTGTGCTCATTCCTATGCACCAAAGTTTCGAACCTCATTTCTCAAAATTTAGATAAACTTAATTAGTGTATAATATCGTTTGTGTTGATGCACAAAACCGGAGGTTCGTGGAACAACGTAAATCCGACCGTGAATCTGCAAGAAAGTAAAGAACACAAGATGTACGTGGTTCACCCCAATGTTTGGGCTACGTCCACACTGATATTGTATTTCTCTGAGAGGATTATGAGGGAGAGAGCCTCTATAATGTGAGAGTGAGGCTTTGAAGGGTGAGGGGGCTTCAAGCTTAAGAATTGCATCTCTTAATGAGGAGAGTGAGGGGTCCTTTTATAGAATAAGAGCTCCTCACTTATTACATATTTGCCCCTTCATTTATTACATAATCACATTTGAGTCCCCCGAGTATTTATACGAGGTCTAAATACGAAGGCCCTAAGTATGGTACAAACAGTAGTCCCCCAAATCTTCAGTCAAGAGAGTCTTTTGGCTGAAGACTTGAAATTCAATCCATGTGTGGGCCGAAGTAACTAGATGTCATCTAAGACTGATACACGATATGAGGCGGTACTCAATCTGAAATGATGCTCAACTAGAAGTAGCACATGTTGCGAGGCTGCTCTGCTTGTGGCTTATGTTGCCTTGGTTGGCTTGGCTTGTGGCATTGAAGGTGAGGGAGTCCCTTTTATATAATAAGGGCTCGCTTCTCAATACAAAAAATGATGGGCTAGAGTTGATGCTCGTGGCGAGGCGCTTGCTCAGCAGGCGGCGATGCTCTTTAATGATGGTAAGGGAATCCCTTTTATAAAATAAAGGCTAGCTCCTCAGTACATGAATTAGGAGTGATGCTCGCGGCGAGGCGATTGCTCAGCTAGCGATGATGCTCTCTAATGAAGGTGAGGGAGTCCCTTTTATAAAATAAGGGCTCGTTCCTCAGTACATGAATAATGGGTGCTCTCTAATGAAAGTGAGGGAGTCCCTTTTATAAAATAAGGGCTCGTTCCTCAGTACATGAATAATGGGCTAAGTCCCCCAAATATTTTTCATGAGGCCCAGTTGAGGCCCAATATATGGTACATAATGTAGTCCCCCAAGTCTTCAGTCAATAGGGTCTGTTGGCTGGAGACTTTAAATTGAATCCATGTATGGGCCGAAGTAGCGGTTGTTCGGATGCGGTATTTGTATACCCTGCACTGAAGCTTTATAGGTGAAGCTTTGCAAGTGAAGCTTTTGAAGCTGGAGCTTTGTAAATGAAGCTTTTGAAGCTGGAGCTCTCGAAGCTGGAGCTCTGTAAATGAAGTTTTCAAAGCTGATTGACATGAGTAATGCTCATGAATGTTGACATGAGTAATGCTCATGAATGTTGACATGAATGATGGTCATGAATATTTATGTATGATTGACATGAGTGATGCTCATGAATGTTTATGTATGATTGACATGAGTGATGCTCATGTATAATTTTGGAGTACTGGACGTACTTTTGATCACCTAGTGGGTGATAATAACGGCAGGCTGCCGAATAATTTTGGAGTACTGGACGTACTTTTGATCACCTAGTAGGTGATAATAGCGGCAGGTTGCCGAATAATTTTGAAGTCCTGGGCTTACTTTTGATCACCTGGTTGGTGATAATTGCGGCACTGTGCCGAATAATTTTGGAGTACTGGGCGTACTTTTGATCACCTGGTTTGTGATAATAGCGGTAGGGTGCCGAATAATTTTAGAGTACTGGGCATACTTTTGATCACCTGGTTGGTGATAATAGTGGCAGGGTGCCGTATAAATTTGGAGCCATAGGGCTTGGTTCTTTTGGGCATATGGGCCTTCGCCCTCCACATAACATTCCAGCCCATTATTTTGGGCTTGTCGTTTTTTTTATTATTACCCTCTGATGGGGTTATACAGATGTCTCCGAAAGATAAGAAAAATAAATTACATCATTCACAAATAAATCTGACCCTCTGCTTAATGGGTCACGCCCATAATGTCATCACCACCGCAATTATGTCTGCTTCTTTTTATCTTCTTTTGATTTTGCTTTTATGGGAGTGGTTGAGATGACTGAGGGATAAATGCATACTTTTTTTTTTCATCTACAGACATACTCACATGCAGCCTTTCTTTTTCTTTTTTCTTTTCACTTTCTGCTTTCGGCCTGGTTATTGTTGGGACCTTGTAGTGGGATAGCATATGCTCTTGGAGAGGGAAGCCTCTCTTTTCTTCTCCTTGCTTTTGCATGTGGGTGGTCGACAAAAGCCATCCATGTGGGTGGTCGACTAAAGCCATCCAGACTCATCATTTCTGATGGCATCACCGACAGAAACGGTTCGATGAGGTTGCGGGAATTGAATGAAACAAATAATATCCAAAATCTGATCACTCACCAGAATATCCAACCCACCGTAGTTTTCTTTCAACCAATCATAAAACTCAGTGATGGACGCCGTGTCTAGCACATCGAGCTGATGGCGAAATGTATTGAGGCCACCTTCTTGGAAGACCTTAGCTGCTTCAAGCCCCACACTGCGGTCTCTGGATGTGAGTATAACAGTAACTCCATATGCCGCAAGCTACTTCGAAATCTCAAACCCAATCCCCCTATTACCCTCAGTCACCACCGCAACAGTCTCTGTTGACCACCACTGCTGGTGATCAGAATAAGGGATGGTTCTGATGAGGGAGATTTTCTTGGCGTCTCTTTTCTCTTCTTTCTTTAGCTCCGGGTGCGCAGCTCCTTGGCCGTGCGGTTAGATCAAGGCTTCGATCACTTCCTTCACCTTCGGATTGTCGCCAACACTGTCGAATTAACACAGGTTCTTCCTCGACGAGAGCCCGACCGCCAAGATCCTGCGGACCTAGATGCTTGACCCCATCTCCAATGGTGAAGAAACACACAGCCTTGCAATTATGCAAACTTCGCCCCACCAAAAGAGCATACAAATCAACAATCACCATTGACAAACTCCACACACATTGCAAGCTAATAGCAGCAACAAGGTAGCAGAAGGTGGCGACGGTGGGAAAATCGGAGGTGGTGGCCATGACAGAGAGAGATTGCGACGAAGTAGAGCTGGCAGAGACGCAGGGCGAGCCACCGAGGGTGCCAAGTGCGGCGAAGCAGAGCTGGCAGAGACGCATGGAGAGCCCATCGGGGGTGCCAGGCATGCCTTGGACGTCCTTCATCCTCACTCTGAGGGCGTTCTGGGCCGCCACGTCAGTCGTAGGCGGGGCCTCCACCGGATGGACCAACGGGCGGCTCACGTACATAACTCTACAAAATCTCTCTGCACACCCACTCTACAAGGACAAAAGCGATCTCGATGAAACCATAAAGTTAGAGTCGAATGAGAAAGAAAAGGGGAATTTTGAGGAAGGTGATGAGGAGGGTGAGAGTCTCGGAGAGTTTTTTTTTTTTTAGAGAGATGGAGAGTTCTTTTCTCTGAGGATACAGAAACGAATAGAGAGAGAAAGAGAGAAGAGATGACATGGTGGCTTGCTGTTTGTGGGGGTTTTCTGGAAAAGATTTAGGTTCTTAGTTTCTGCAGATTCACGGTGGAGGTGAAAAAATGAAAGAGAACCGACACAACTTTTCGTATCGATTCCCACAGAAGGCGCCAAATGTTGATGCACAAAACCGGAAGGGTCTTGGAACAACGTAAATCCGACCGTGAATCTGCAAGAAAGTACAAGATGTACGTGGTTCACCCCAATGTTTGGGCTACGTCCACACTGATATTGTGTTTCTCTAAGAGGATTATGAGGGAGAGAGCCTCTGTAATGTGAGAGTAAGGCTTTGAGAGGGTGAGGGGGCTTTAGGCCTAAGAATTGGTCTCTCTTAATGAGGAGAGTGAGGGGTCCTTTTATAGAATAAGGGCTCCTCACTTATTACATATTTGCCCCTTTATTTATTACATAATCACATTTGAGTCCCCCGAGTATTTATACGAGGTCTAAATACAGAGGCCCTAAGTATGGTACAAACAGTTTGTATAAAAAAATTAAGAAGAAAAAAACTTGATATGTTAATCCTCGTGTGAGTAATAATGTTAACCACTATATCACGATAAAATTTTCATTGTGACCGAAACACAAGTAGTACACTGTGTTTTTATATAAATGGTGGAAAATTTTATTTTTTAAGTTATTGACTTTTTAACACACATATCTCACCATTTGTATAGTAATACATGGTGTACTATCCCGTGTTTCCGTCACAGTGAAAAATCTCTCCAATATCACAATGTGTTTCGCATGAAATCAAGAAACCTCCTTTGCTGTACGAGCATAGTACATACTCTCACCTTCTAGTTTATATCTCGGCCTCACCAACACTAGTTTTTCCACTGGTCACACGAACCGTATCTTCAAGTTTCGACCACCCGATTCCCCAATTCTCTGGATTTTTCAGTAAGCATCCCTCTGGAGTAAGTGTTTTTTGCTGGTAGAAACTCTAGACAAGGAGCCATCCAACGCAAGGTGTCCGTTAAGACAGATTCTTCAACCACCGTTGGGGAGTTGACTGAAATTACCTTAAGATCTTGGAGACTAGCTAGGAAATGGTTGAGATTATTTCTGTCTCAATATTTCTGGAAAGATGAAAGTGTACACAACAAAGAATGTAAATCAATAACAAAAGAATAACTAATGTTATTTGTACCACATTTACTTACGTGTGTATACCTTAGGATTATCAGCATATACGGTTATTTTTCTGTGGCAATCAAATTTTGCAAGAAAATTGCTCAGAAAATGATGCCATTTGTATGGAACGCTGAAGAGAGAGAGGCCGTCTCCTCAAGTATGACTGTAGTCTCACATAACTTTGGAAAATTCATACAACTAAAGTTGTTCTTCAAATAAGTCAAATAACCATTGAATCCAATTAAAAGGAGATTTGGCGTATCAATTGTCACACCCATGGTGGAACTGCCTCCACAAATGAATACAAAACGTTTTAGATGCTGACAGAACAAGTTGATACTCATACGTTTGAGGAAGCCGCAACAATCCTATAATAGCAAGCTCTCGAGGAAGGGAAATCTTGAATTGAAGCCTTTAACCATCTGCTATCTCGAAGATCAGTGTTTAAGAACTCTAAATTCCTTAGTGCTACGTAAAAGAGGCAAGATCGACTCTGAACAGAAAGTGTTTACGACTTTCATCCTACCAAATCTAAAAATTCAAGATTCATAGCTTTAACTTTAAATATCAAATGCCAGGGCACCCGGAAACCAAGTGGGAGAATCCCAGTCCGCGCATGTCTTCAAGGGACATAGATTTCAAAGATGGAAGACTTATAGTACATTTATCCTTTATGCCCACGCTCTTCAAGTTTAAAACAGTTAAAGATTTTGCATTGAGAACAGTATGGGATAAGTAGTAGCCACCTGTGTGTGCGGAGTTCATGCACATTGAAAAAACCTCGTTCGGCTGATCTCAAACTCTTTTAACATTTTCTTTCAGTAGCAAAACTCAAACACTTATCGATGACCTTAACACGTGGGCATTGAGAATTCTTCATATTTTTGGGAAGACACCGGCAATTTCTGATTCGAAGTATAAACTTATCTAGAACGTATCTGTCTCACGGTGCTTCAAACACATTTTTCACGAAGTCAAGGAACAATTTACCGTGTTGAAGCTTGTGAACATTATGTAGCTCTTCAGGCTCTTCCTCGTCGAAATTTAACATGGGGACCAAAGATGATACACTTCCATTGCTAGGAAAGAATAGTGGCCCGAACGGTAAGTCTATTGGAAAGGAGTTGGAGAATTCGGCGAATGGCAAGGTCTGGTAATTCGGATGTGTTGTCGATTAGGGAGGCCATGGCGTTTCAATTTTGATCTTCTTGCCTTTCTTCTTGCTTTCTTGAGAATTTTATTTGTCTGCTTTGCTTCTAAGGGCTCTTTTTTCTTAAACATCATGAAAGGATTTCTTAAACTGATCAAGAACGAAGAAGTGGGGAACAATAAAGAAAGACAATGATCGAACAAAATACACAAAGTGCTTGAATACTCTATCCGCACTGCACTATCAAAACCCTAGCTTTGCCTGTGCTATATCATAAGTGGGTTATGGTCTCAACTATATATATTTACTTAAGTAATATCATTGTCACATCCCAACCCAGGTCCACCACATCCCGGGCCCGTTTCACCACCGTAGCACGATATTGTCCGCTTTGGGCTTACCATTCCCTCACGGTTTTATTTTTGGGAACTCACGAGCAACTTCCCAGTGGGTCACCCATCCTGAGAGTGCTCTGACCTCCTTCTCGCTTAACTTCGGAGTTCCTACAAACCCCGAAGCCAATGAGCTCCCAAAATGCCTCGTGCTAGGTAGGGATGAGAATATATATTTAAGGATCACTCACATGGGCAATGTGGGATGTTACAATCATTGACTGATGAGATCTCTCCGTGACGGCCGAGGATCTGCTGTCCGCAATTTCATGTCTCCTTTATGTCTCTTTGTTAGTTTTTTGACATGTGTCCCACTTAACTCTGAAATTAACACCGTTAATTATTATATATAACTAATTGAAAAAAAAAACCACAGAATTACAAAAAAATAAACATGAACAGTCAAATAAACACCGGCAACCACACCCAAAAACGAACAGTCAAATAAAGTATGCCTACTTGTCCTCACCGTCGTCGCCAAAGCCCCTGATTTCCATAACCTTTTCCTTCCCTTGCACGACCACCTTCATGGCATGTTTACCAAAGGGGAATGAAATGATAGGAAACGGAATTGCACACATCCCCATTCATTCAAGTGTTTACCAAAACTTCAGGAATCAAAAAACTAGTGGGACCCGCATAAAATCAGGAATTCAATTCCTGCAAAGGCCGAAGTGGGATTCTTGGGTGAAAGGAGGGATTTGGATTCCTGGAAATTGTGTTCATCAGGAATCCAAGTTTTGTACCGGTAATACCCTCAAGCTTCAAAGTAATATTGGGATGGGGGGAGGGGGGAGAACGAACCAGGGGATATTGTTTGCAGCCCTTGCGGGTTGTGCTAATCTTCTTCGCATAGTAAAAGGAGCAGAATGTGGTTGGCGATGAGGAGAGTCTTGTGGGTGAGGGGGAGTGAGTTGAGGCGGTGGAGGGTGAGAGAGAAGAGGATGGGGGAGGAGGGAGGGAGGAGAGACGGTGGTAGTGGTGGGTATTGGAGAGGATGGTGATGGGTATCCTGCGGCTGCTGATAAAGACTGGGGAGAGGGGGGAGAGAGAGAAGAGGATATAAATTAGGGTGATTTGTACTAAAAAAAATATTATTTCATATTAAATTTGTACTAAAAAAATCTCTCTAAAGATAAAAAAAAATGAAAGAGTAAAAGTTTTACTAAAAATAATTAGCAAATAAAATACATTAGTTAAGCAAGGGTACTTTAGTAATTATATTAGATTTTATTCCGATTCATATGAATTAGTAAACAGTTTATATAGATCAATATCATTTCTACTCCGATTCCAGACAATTTTGGTAAACAACTTCAATAGGAATCTAATTCTGATTCCAGCTCATTCCAATTCCCCCTCAATTCAATTCCTCCTCAATTCAATTCCCCTCAATCTGATTACGAATTAGTAAACGCACCCTCAATGTCTTAATCTTGTCCGAGATTCTTCTCAAACCACTTCAAATCGCTGAGGGGCGAGATGAGCGGTTGCGATTGGAGGTCAATTTGCTGCCATATAGGATTACACTTGGGCGTGAATTAATTAGGACTCCCCCATTAAACAATGATTTGCTGCCCATAGAAGGATTAAACATCAATTTGCAGCCATAGAAGGATTCAAAATCGATTTGCTGCCATTTACCTATTAATACGAAGAGCTGATCGAACTGCGATTTGGGCGTGAACGGCCTGATGGAGGAGAAGAGGCCCAGTAGGATGTGATAAGCGGAGGTCCTGCAGGGGATTTGGGCGTGAATGGTGATTTCTGCAATTCTTTAGTTTTTTTTTTTAATATAGTTATATATAAATTGTTAGCGGTGTTAATTTTATAGCCAAGTGGAGAGACACATGTCAAAAAACTAATAAAGAGATACAAATGAGACATGAAATTAGGGACAACAAATCCTTGGCCCTCAGTGACACCCTAATCTCTCAATAAACATTGGGTCAAAAATCTCTTGATAAACATTTAAGCATCTGATCTTACAACTAGGAACGGAGCTAGAAATTTCTTCTAGTGGGGGCAACCCGAAAATTAACTAAGAAAACCTTATTATAGTATAGCTACCCAATAGATAATAGGAATGATTTTCAAATGATGATGTATCACATTTCCAATGTTACAAAAATTTTAGTGTAGTATTGGAAAGTGGTAGAGTGATAAGAAAAATATTAATACATGATTACATGTGAGAGAGGTTTTTCAGTTTGAATTATAGAAAAAGAGTGCTTTTGCTCATATAGTAATTGATATGAAGTATATACAATATGAAGATATGTTGGATGTTAGATACTTATATTTTTTTTCAAATATAACGCATGTATATTACTATATTATATAATTATAGTCTGTAACTTAACAAACTAATCACTTGAGTAGGGGTATATGCCCCTAGTAGGCCTTCATTGGCTCCGTCCATGCTTATGACTAGTCTCATACTCAACACAAATACCAAATAGTCATTGTCGTTTATGTGAGTCAACATAATCTCACACTTACAATTTGAGAAAAACTATCATTAGATATAGTGTTTGATTGTAAACTAAAACATGTTTAATTGGATGGGTACTATAAAATGATAAAAAAAAAAAATGTGAACCACTTGTCATTCCCAAATGGAGTGAACAAAATTAACTATACCATTCATTTATACAATAATATATGAATTAGTGATATCACGATCAGGCAAAATATTCCTTGAGTTTTTTTCTAGGCAAAGAAGATATATAAGACACAAGGATGCAAGAAAACAACCTATTGTGGATAGAGTGGACTTTGTGGTTGAAATTTAGTGCAACCCTTTGTTCCTTGGTCAGACCATTGATTGAACTCACTTCATCTGGCACCATGTATTTGTGGACCAACTTGTACCATCTCTTACAACCACCCTATCTCCATAGGGCTCTCTTAATTCTTCCTCCACAGCATCAATTTTGTGGCCAATAGTAAGCTATGTGGGCCACACACAAGATTCCCACATGGCACCCACGTGGACATCCTGCTTGGCATGAGTTGCATTGTGGTCCATTGTTCTGCACCACCCTGATTGAACATGCTTCTGTTAATCTGTTTGTGAACAAATTAGGGACATCCTACCAACATTGTCTTTTTTATTTTGAGGATATTAGTTGGCAAAAATAAGAATGATATTTGGTGGAGTTTTAAGCTCAACTATTAGTCCAGACTATCGCGGATCATACAACATGTCAGTTTGGATTTATCGTATTATAGAAGGTTAAGTGTCCAAAATTGCAAATGTAAAGAGAGTAAAATTCTGGTGTATTGGCTATTTATAGTAATTTGTTGTTGAATTATCGTTTTCTTATGATAGTAATTTCTCACAAGGATCTATTTCTATACATAGAGGCCCAAATGACTCCAGTCCTTGAGCACGGGGCATAAAGAGCAACCAAACTTGTTTACTATTTTTGCAAAAACAGAATAATATTGCAATCGGAGGGTGTCTCTCTATTAAGAGACGTTTTTGGAAGCATAATTACAAGGATGTTCGCAGTGCGGTCTGTCCTTGCACAAAGGTTGTCTTCAGGATGCAGCCTTTTGGCATGGGTTGAACTCCTTGTGCTCTGATTGCATTCCACAAGGGATTTTCCTCATCCTGCCTTTTGGCATGCATGAGTTGAAATTCCTTGTGTCCCTTGACCCGGTCCTTACTTTCCTCCGATTTTCGGAATACATTTTCATCGATCATTAGATGAAAAAAGGAAACATATTGATGCACAAGTACGAGCTGGGACGGTTGCTTGGAAAGGGGACATTTGCCAAGGTTTACCATGCCCGAAACCTGAGCTCCAGCCAGAGCGTTGCGATTAAGATAATCGACAAGGAGAAGGTGCAGCATGTCGGATTGATTGATCAGATTAAGAGGGAAATCTCCGTGATGCGCCTTGTTAGGCACCCGAATGTGGTTCAGCTCTTTGAGGTCATGGCCAGCAAGACCAAGATTTACTTTGCCATGGAGTACGTGAAAGGTGGGGAACTTTTCGACAAGGTTGCCAAAGGGAAGCTCAAGGAAGACGTGGCGCGGAAATACTTTCAGCAACTGATTGGGGCTGTTGATTACTGCCACAGTCGAGGGGTCTATCACCGGGACATCAAGCCAGAGAATCTCTTGGTGGATGAGAATGGAAACCTCAAAGTTTCGGATTTTGGATTGAGCGCATTGTGGGAGTCTAGGGGACAAGATGGCCTCCTCCACACCACGTGTGGAACGCCAGCGTATGTGGCACCGGAGGTAATAAACAAGAAAGGTTATGATGGCGCAAAGGCAGATACATGGTCTTGTGGGGTTGTCCTCTTTGTTCTACTGGCCGGTTTCCTGCCATTCCATGACACCAATCTCATGGAAATGTATAGGAAAACCAGCAGAGGAGACTTCAAGAGCCCTCAGTGGTTTCCCCCAGAAGTAAGTAAGCTTCTTTCGAGGATTCTTGATCCAAATCCAAGCTCAAGAATAAGTGTTGACAAGATCATGGAGAATAGTTGGTTCAAGAAGGGGTTTAAACAAATCGAAGCGCCTTTAGCCCTTCCGTGTGATCCCAGCACCTCAATCCGCGACGTCCATGAGGCATTTGCATCAACAAGTCATTCAGCTGGAGAAGGTAATGCTAGCGGAGCAGGAACAAGCTCCATGAGGCCAACATGTTTCAATGCGTTCGACATCATATCTCTCTCACCAGGTTTTGACCTATCCGGTTTGTTTGAGAAGGATATGAATCACAGACCACAGGCGCGATTCACGAGCACAAAACCAGCCGCGACAATTGTTTCAAAATTCGAAGCCATAGCACAGACGGAGAGGTTCAAATGCATGAAAAAAGATGGAACCCTTAAACTGCAGGGTAGCAAGGAAGGCAGGAAAGGGCAGCTAGGCATCGATGCTGAGATTTTCGAGGTCACGCCTTCATTTCATGTCGTGGAGATGAAGAAAACGGCTGGGGACACATTGGAATACATGGAGTTCTGTGACCATGACTTGAAACCCTCTCTTAAGGATATAGTATGGACTTGGCAAGGAACAGAGCAGCAACAGCCACCACCGCCAGTAGTAGCGCCTGAACTCGTTTCTTAGATACGAAGGAAGTGCTTATTTTTATCTAAAACTTGTGCTTAATTTGTGTCTTCAATGCGTTTTCATCTTTATTTCTTAATCTTTTCAGTCTTTTTCTTCTTTAATCCGCTTTATATGTTGTACTTGTTTCGAATTCGAGATCAATTTGTAAAGAGAGAGACGGAGGTATTACTAGTCTGGTCGTCTGGTGCACAACTGAAGACTGAGCGCGGTGCAGGATGCATGTTCTGAAAAATGTGCAATCATGTAGCAGATTGATCGATGACATATAGAATCACTAGTTTAAACTTGTAGCACCAAAAGGGCAAAATTTTGGGTATTCAATTGCATATTTAAAGAGCAAGCTATGGACTAATTATATCTGTTCTTGTTTTTCTTTCAATTTAAACTTTTGGAGTGACATGATTTAGGGAATGAGGATAATAGATATCCATCTTTGCTGTTTTTCCACAACTCATCCTGAAAAAATTAAGCAAAACAGCTCCCGCAGAAAGTACAGAAAGGCAAATGTGCAACCACGTTTAAAGTACTATCATGTTAGAATTTTAGTCATGTGTGTGAAAGAGATTAATATTTTGATATATCTCGGTTGTACTCTAGAATTTTCGATGTCTTTAACCAAAAAGAAAAGAACCCTACAACAAGAGAGGTATTGTCTCTAACCAAAGGATCACGTATGTTTGTGCGGCCATAATACAAAATCAGAATCTTCTGCAATTTTATATCACTCAGGACAACCCGTATGAGGAATCTCACGTACGGCTGGTCGCACACAGTAATTCCTCTGTAAGAGGGCTGCTGTAGTCAAGAATCTCTCCTAAAAAAACAGTAAACAAGTTGATAAGTTAATTTATGATCAAATTAACCGAAATGCTAGACCAGTGATTTATATGTGATTTGTAATTAGGTATGAGGGTAGGATACACAGAACCATCACCGTCTGTTACTTTAACTAGCAAATCGAGACCTCTCCCTCTAGAAATACACCTTAACAAATTTAGTCATTATCCAACATAAATATCTACTGTTCACGGCATGTAAACAGTGCTTAATTAGCCTAATTTCCCTTTGCCCTTAATCACACGTAATTACATCATTGTTGTCATCACAAGGACACCAAATGGTTTGTGATCGGCTGCCATTTAACGTGGGAAAGGATTAGCAAAAGATTTGGCTGCATTAGAGAAGAGATTAACCCATTCAACGTCCAATTAATCCATGTGATTATATGTGCTTCTTTTCCTTAATTGTGTAAAGAATATAAGCTTTAACTGCTGTCAGAAAACATTATCTTCACAGTATCTGAAAGACTGAAAGTCCATCGCTGATTATCAAGTTGGTGTTTGATCTTACCACGTATTCTTATCCACATGTCCCTTATTCCTATATTTCCCTCCATATTTCCACACACAAAACTTGGAAAAGGATGTTTTATGCATCCCAAGCATCCCCTTGTTGAAAAATATGGTTCTTAAATCTAAACACGTAAAAAGTCCATTTTGTGGATCGGCCATGGCACCTTAAACCCTAAACCTAAGCAGCTCACTGCTTCCTACTTGTTAAAGTAATATTGGCAATTCCTAAACAAAACGCTTGTAAAACCCCTCCCCAAAATTATTATGTAATGTTACATTTTCCTAAAGTTATGTAATTTTTACAATTTGGTCCCCTATCCTAATTTAATCCGGACCCTCCATCTAGATTTCCCTCCTCCCTCACGCTGGCACGTGGCAGCCTCCTAACCTTCACCCTATCTCTTTCACCATAGGCTAGTAGTTTGCCGTCGACCGAAGCTGGGGAAGCTCCGGTGTCCTTTCCCCCATCGAACCAGGCCCCTTTGGGCAGTGTATAGAACTTGGACCTTAGGCCCGTTTACACCCAAACCCTTTTTTAATTTTAATTATTGTTATTTTTATTTTATTAACCCAAAAACAATCGGACCAAGCTTCAATGCCCAGCCCAATTGGAAACCCTAAACCCTTTCGGACCCAAGCCTTAGGACTATGTAGGCTTAGGCCTTCGGCCCTTTGCATCCAACCCATTGGAACCTAACCCACTAGACCCTTGCACATGGGCCCTTTGACCCCAGAAAAAAAAAAAAAAAAAAAAAAAAACCCCTTGAGCCTTCAAACCCAAGTTCAAAACCCTTGGACCCTAGGCCCAACCCGAACCAAGACCAGACTCGGTTTAACCAAGGTTGACCCAACCCGTTGACTTTTTGATTTTTTCGAGTTTTTATCTGGGACCCCTTCTAGGCTAATTTCGAAGTCCTGGACCCGTTTATGACATCTATTTTCCCAAATTCAATCATTTGAGTATAGTTTTGTTGATTGTATCCTTTATGTGCTTAGGTGTGAATATTAGCGGCAATTCTGTCATTCCTATATTGTACGGCTCTATGACGACGGAATATCTGTGAGTGGACCCCTTCTAAAATGCATGTTTTAATAGTATAAATGCATACATGAAAAGCATGATTTAATGAGCACGTTTTATGAAATGTTTGGTGAGTAAATTGGATTTACCTTATTATATGATTATCATGCTTACTTAGAATATTTTGGAATCCATATTTTCTATTAAACCCATGTTCTTGTAGGGTATCTGATGGATGAGGATATACCATTTAGAACATGTTTTTACACACTTCTTTATAGTATAGATGATGGATGACTTTAAAAAGAAAAAATGCCGCTGCCATTTTTGTTTTAAAAAAAAAAACCAAAAGCTGCTGCTACATATGAATTTAGGTTGTTTCCGTCTAGCAGCAACGCATTAAACAGAGAGAAAGTTCATGTGCTGCATGCCCTAGGGTTAAGTCAGTTTATATTTTTCATCTTGTTGCCGCATGAATCAAAGTGTGGTTTTAGTTTGCTGTTACTACACGAAATATTATCTGAGAGCAAATGTTTGTTAGCAGTCCCAATGTTACTCTAGGTTAAATTAGTACCCATCCTAGAACTTTCACTGCTCCATTTATTATTTCTCTCACATACTTTCCCTTGATTTCTATACACAAAATGAAAACTAAAAACTAACAAACGAAATGATTATCAAATAATCTCTTAAATGTTTTCTCACTAATATTATCAGTTGTTAAACATAGATTCACTAGAGAGATTTTAATACTCTCTTTTTCCACCAAAAACCAAAGTCCATCTGAACAAATCCTAAAAGAAAATCGAATTATAAATTGCAAACTCCATGCAAGAAGATAGAAAGAGAACAGCTAAGGCCATCTCTAATCAAAGGGTCCAGAGGGCTAGGCCAGAGGGCTCGTGGGCCCCACAAAATCTGAAAAGGCCAAAGGGCTGGCCGCATGTAGCCAGCCCGGGGCTGGCCAGAAATTCCAGCAATCCTATTAGATATAACCGACAAGAATAAATTTATATTAAATATATTCCTGTCGATTATATCTGACAAGAATGCTGAAACAAAAATTTGAATCCAACGGCTATCTGACGCCAGTTACCTTGGATTCAATTTTTTTTTTTGTGGTTTTTTGGTCCTTTTTTTTAATTCTTAAAAATTCTAAGTTTTTTCCCTATAAATACCTAAACCATTCATTCACCATTCCTCACAAAAATTTCACCATTCCTACACCATTTTAATTTGTCGTTTTTAAATTTAAGTTGTAGTTTTTAAATATAAGTTGTAATTTTTAAGTTTAAGTTGTGGTTTTTAAATTTAAATAATAAATTATGTTTGGCCCTCGGTTGGAGACGGTTTTTTGTGACAGGGCTAAAACGAGCCCTATGGCTCTTTGGCCCTCGGGTGAAGATGGAGACAAATATGACCATGTACTGTTCATTACAATATTAATATCTTGAATAACCAAAGGGTTAAAACGAGTCATCTGACCAGCCCTCAGTTGGAGATGGTCTAAGAATCTAAGACCAAGGCAGTAAGGCAACTACCAGTCATACCCTAACCCTAAATTATTGTTGGAGAGACACATCCATGAGGTGGCACAGAGATTATAGAACAAGAACATCTGTAAAGCCAACCTCAGAGATCAACAGATTATAAAGTCATGGATGACGACTTTTAATTTCTACAATCCACCTAAATTGATATCTAATCATCATCATCCTAATAATGATTTGTTTTTTTCATCGACGAGTCTCTCTGGTTTTTTGTACACGTCTTGCATGTGGAGTTTTGGTTCTTGTTTTGTCATGGAAGTGGAAATCGGTAGCGGTCGGTCACTAGTCAAATATTTAACTAATATTTTTGCCATTTGATTCTACATTTCCAACTTCTCTATTTTGTTTGTCCACACCCCCCCCCCCCAAAAAAAAATCTTAACTATATTAAGTAACGTTTTGTTGTTATTTCAATCCATAATATTTACAAAAATATTTTACAAGTCAATACATCCAGGTTTTGGTTTACCACGGGTTCTGATTAAAAATGTACAAATATTTATATATAATCATTAGGAAAACCTCCTCCAATTAAAAAAACAGACACATGGCATCGAACCACACAAGTTATGATTAAAATTGTACAAATATATAACTATTATGAAATCTCCTCCAACCCAAAAAAGAAACAACACCTAGGTATCGAACTTATTATTTATATATATATAACATCTGAAACTTCCTTCAACCTAGTAAAAATAACCACTGAAACAAGTATTGAAGAACTTGGCTTATAAAATGGTAAACTTGTTCCTAACCTAATTCAAACTATCAAGGGGATTTAAACTCCAAGCAGAACGGAGCACACACTTCCGTAATCAACCAAATATACCAGACCAATGTAACCTTTTATCTTTTTGACTTTCTTGAGTAAAAACTAAAGTCGTGGTGAGTTGGTGTTCAATGACCAATAAGGCTTTTGGTTGAAAGCTCTGCCACCATAAAACACAAGATTTGAGCTAGTCAGCTTATCACTCTCCACGAGTTTTGGTAAAACCCAAAAAATCAGCCGGACCCTATTGCATTTTTTTTAACAAGGTTAAATTTCGTCCATGCAAACAAGATGATTATCCCTATACATATTTTGTAAACGACAGACAAAAGATTTGGAAATTTCTTGTGTACTATTTGTGATATATATTTTTCTAATAAGACTGCGTGACAGAAATGGGACCTTCATTCAATACCGTGAAATCAAGGGAGATGGATTGGCTGTCCTTCTATTTCTATACATTTTTTATCTTTTTTGTTTGTGTGATCACGATTAAGCCACGTTAACATTTTATGTTGATTTTTATATAAAAATAATAAATAAAAAGTAATAGAAATATAACATATTAACGTGACTTAACCGTAACCACATAAAACAGGAAGAGATAAGAAGAGTATGAAAATGAAAAGGCAGACAATCCACCTCCTATACAAGGCCCCAGAACTCTGTAGAACTACGATACTGACAAGAAGTTGTCCATCAGCATCCATGGTGGTTGCCATCGCAAAAAGATGAAATATAAGTGTCAAAATTTAGAAAATTAGTAGAAAAAGGCAGGGCATCCATTGGCAGACGTATCAAGACAATACCACACCATTTCCCCGTTTGTCAGAAGTATTTTCGCATTCTTATTTTTTCTTTTTTCAGTATTTTTTTTAATTTTAAACTCAGAATTGAATAAATAAAAAACAAAGAACAAAAATAAGAGAAGTGCACAAAGAAAAGAAATATTATAGTCACACACATTAAATTACTTTTCTTACACTCTTTTAACTTTTTAATATTTTTTTATCAAGTCTTCGTGTGTCAAAAAATATTATAAATATTAAAAAAATAAAAATAAATGTATGAGAAATAATTTAAGGTATGTAAATATATAGACAAACCAAAAACTATGAAATATCACTACATGTTTGCCTATATGGATTCTTCGGCGTTATCATTTTTAAAAGAGATCACGTGATGAGACATGATCGTATACATTTGATAATATGACATATTTTCGTTCCTTCCAGTAGAAAAAGGCAAGGTGCATTAATAAGACAGAACCATTTTAGTCAATAAAATAACATCCACTTCTTATTTGCCATGTAGAGAGTTTTTTTGACGTCACTGATTATATACAAATGGTACAAATGGTACAAATGGCGATAGATTACCTCCTCATCTTCCTCCAAGTATAAAATCCATAACATTGATCATGAACTTCATCTGCCTTTTTCCTACCTTCATTCATTCAATGGAGAGTTTTTTAATCTAATCAGAACATGAGATGGCGCATCACTGTATCACTATATAAATGATGAGATATGAGTGTTAAAAAATTAATAACTTAAAAAATTAATTTTCCACCACTAATATAAAAACACTGTATTATCGGTGTTCCGATCACAATAAAAATTTTATCCATTCAACGTCCCTAAAGTATCTCTACCCATCAAACAAATAACCACCCTTTGATGGTCCATGAAAATGCAGCGAAGTGGTCCATGGCTTTATATCCAGAGAACCAGACAAACTACCAGTATTTAAGCAACATGCTTTCTATCCCCACCATTTCACCTAACTATGGTGATATAACTGACCTCTCCTTTTCCTTGCAGAAAAAAAATTAAAAAAATAAAAAATATATTTGACCTAAAAGTGCCGCCATGTGGAAGAGAGGAAGGGAACTGGGCTATCTAACGAAATGCGACTTAACTAGGTCGAATCCAGACACCTATGTATGGAAGGTATGAACATAACATCCACCACAATGGCATATCCAGTGTAGGCAAGTCTTTCTCGTCTTTACTGAAGAGACTCAAGTGAACTCAAAACTACCACTTAAAAGTCGTTCGTTAACTCAAGATTGCAGAAAACATCAACGAGTGCAAAATCATTCGCAAAATGAGTTTTTATAGCATAAGTACTGCATAAGTAATGTAAAGCATATACACTCATACATTCAGCCACCACCAACAAATCGCAGATATAAGTAGAAATTTTGTATTCCATTCTCTGTAGTAAAATCTATAGCTTTCTCGATACGAGAACATAGCATGCATTACATAACAAGTATCCAAAAGCTCCATCTATTTCCCAAAACAAAAACAAAAACAACCACCAAAAGAAACTGAAAAAAAATCAATGAAAGAGGAACCTTCACATTAGCCTCAGAAAATCAGAAAACAAGGGATTAAATCGTACCGATTTCCCGTTCTTCTTCCCTACTCGGTATCCGAAGGCAGATGCGGAGGGGAAGCAACGGCAGCAGCACCGGCGGCACTCTCCTCAACCATCAAGTTCTGCAACCCGGGTCTTAATTCTGTATTACAAAACTGCTCGTACTCAGCTTTGTCCCCTGCTTTCTTCTTAACCTCCAACACCACCAACGAAGACGTAAGTTCGAATACCTCCGCTGCAATTGTCAATGGCCCCTTCACACCTTCCCTAGACCCCTCCAAGCTCACCCTGCAATCCTTCTTCCTCACGGAAAAGCTCACAACTTTCGCAATCTCCTCCAATTTCGATATGATGGTCGAAACAGGGGCGCCCGACACAAACCTGGCCTCCTCTCCCCGCTCCTCAAACAACCCAGACAAATCAAACCCCGGAGAAAACGAGATTATATCAAATGCATTCAAGCTGGCCGGTCTAGGTAAAGATGTAATCTTTCTTCTGGTCTCAAACTCCGCCTCAGATTCCGACATACAATCCGAGACAGAGCTCACATCACTAAACCTGTCCTCCTCATCATCATCAAGAACATTGCAAAGCCGATCATCGTGATCAATGTAGAACTTGATGTGCTTAAAACCCTTTTTAAACCAGCGATTCTCCATAACCTCCGGGATTGTAATCCTCGAACCCGGATTTGAATCGAGAAGGCGGGTTAAAAGCCGAACAAGCTCGGCACTGAACCATCTGGGGCATCGAAATTCGCCTTTGTATATCTTCTTGTACATCGCCATAACATTTTGGTCATGGAAGGGTAAATATCCAGCCATGAGCACGAACAAAACAACACCACAAGACCAAATATCCACCTTCGCGGCGTCGTACCCTTTCCGGCCCAAAACCTCCGGCGCCACGTAAGCCGGCGTTCCGCAAAACGTGTGAAAGAGACCATCTTGTCGAATTTCATCCGAAACCGCACTCAACCCAAAATCCGAAACCTTGAGATCTCCGTTCTCGTCGAGCAATAGGTTCTCCGGCTTCAAATCGCGGTGGTAGACGCCGCGGGCGTGGCAGAATCCGACGGCGGAGATTAGCTGCTGGAAGTATTTTCTCGCAACTTCCTCCTTCAGCCGGCCCTTGGCGACCTTGTTAAAGAGCTCGCCACCGCGGACGTACTCCATGACGAAGTAGATCTTCACTTTCGTGGCCATGACCTCGAAGAGCTGGACGATGTTCGGGTGGCGGACACGGCGGAGGATCGAGATCTCGCGCTTTATATGGGCTATCAAACCACCTTTCAGGATCTTCTCCTTGTCGATGACTTTGATGGCGACGCTCTCGTTGGTTTTGATGTTCTTGGCGTGGTATACTTTGGCGAAGGTGCCATGGCCGAGGAGTTTGCCGATTTCGAAGCGACCCAGAAGCAGAGCAGGGCAGTTTTTGGTTTTGCTGGTTGTGCGGACGGGAGTTGTGGTCGTGGTTGGGGTTGAGGGCGTGCAAGCGCCGCCGTTGTCGGTGGTTTTGGGGTCGAAGTCTGCCATTCTTTGGGGGAATGGACGGCCGGTCCTTTCTCTCTCGATTTCTTTAAGTAAGGATCTTTTGTACTTTTGTTTATTTGTGATTCGAATGATTGAAGTTTTAAGCTTTTTGTTGAGTTTGGGAATTGTTGGGTTGGGACGTGGTTTTTTGGTTTGTTGGAAGTTCGTATTTTTGAGCGGTGGGTGTAAAAATATATTTTATATGGAGTTGGAGACATGGATGTTCTCATAGGGTAGGAGTATATACCCTCCACACCCTCCACTACTATCCTCCTTTCCTTTTTCTTTGTTTTTTTTGGTTTAAGTTTAAATTTTGATTTAAATAGGCATGTTGTATTTTTATTTTTATTTTTATAGAGGAGTTATTTATTAATTTTTTTCTTCGAACTTGTAAAGATCTGTTAATTTTACCCAATAACTTTAAAAAAAAAAAGTCTCCAAATTTAATTTTAGTTGATTACGTGTTGAATTTTAATTTATCGTATTTTTGAGCGGTGAGTGTAAAAAGATATTTTATATGGAGTTGGAGTCATGGATGTTCTCATAGGGTAGGAGTATATACCCTCCACACCCTCCACACCCTCCACTACTATCCTCCTTTCCTTTTTCTTTTTTTTTTGTTGGTAAAGTTTAAATTTTAATTTAAAGAGGCATGTTGTGTTTTTTTTATTTTTTTATGGAGGAGTTATTTATTATTTTTTTTCTTCAAACTTGTAAGAATCTGTTAATTTTACCCAATAACTTTAAAAAAAAAATTCTCTAAATTTAATTTTAGATTATTACATGTTGAATTTTAATTTATCTGATTACCCCCTAAACTTTTACAATTGGCAAATTTCTTACCTGAACAATTTATAATTGCAAAAAGTTCAGGGGGATAATTAGCAAAAACTAAAATTCAAAAGAAAAATTAGCAGCTCCTTACAAGTTCACCGAAAAAATCGACTAATACATTTTTGTAAAAGTTATTTTGTATTTAATTGTTTATTATTGGGTTTTAAATTTATTCATTTGCCACGTATAAGAATAAGACGCTTAAGAAAAGTTTAGAGAAAATATGTTTCAAAATTGTGTTCGTCGGTGTCTTTTTTATTAGGAAAACTAATAGAAATGGCTTGAAAACTTTGTTTTCCTTAAAATAAAGGGTTAAAGTGAATAATACCAGAATTTACTTGTTAGTGTAAAAATGTGATTTTTCGTTAAAGTGAACAGTACTAAAAAAATTTCGTTGAAGTTCCCTTTTTTATTTTGTCAAAAAGGTTTAAGTTTTTTGTCACAGAAAATGGCCAAGTTTTTGCTAGCAACTTACCTAAATTCCAAAAAAAAAAAGAGACATATAATATAAAGTTAGTTGCTATATTTGTTAATTGTTTTGGTTAAGAACATTGTTTAGTTTATTGGTCACCAATCAACCATATTATGCTAATGGTGACCAATTGGTTTAAACAAAAATATTTTGCGACAACTTTTATGTCAAATGTGCCTGCATGCGACAAATATAGTAGTTAACAAAATAATTGGACACTATTTTATCAATTAGTTGGTGAAAAATACTTGAACAAAATATTAGTCTAATTAGTTAGAATTTAATAATATATATATATAGAAGCAGGCCTCTTTGAAATAACCACTAGCTTATTGTCAAGCTGTCACATTGCAATATTAACAAATGAGTCTTTAAAAGTTTCGACAAAAAAAGAAGTCTTTATAAGTCAATATCTCTACTGCACGCGGAAGGTTAAAAGTCAAATTGATAACGATTATTGTTATGACTATAAACTTTCGCGCCAAAGGAAAGCAATTTACTAAACGAGAGGTTAATTTTTGGGTAATGCTAGAAAAATTATTTTAAATTATATTATGTAAATTATATAACGTGATTGTTGATGATTGAATTATAACTTAAGTGTTAGTTAATATATTTATTTTCTTATTTGTAACATATCATATAATTTGTAAATTTGTATAAAAAGCTGGTCGCATTACTCTCAATTTCTTTTTCAAATATCAAAGCAACACATGCAAACATTGCAAACATGTTTGACCTAAAGGCAAAGTATGATTCTCTTATCTTTCCAAATTCTTTTCTTCCTTATCCTGTTTTATTTGAACAGTCACAATTCAATATCAATATTTTGTATTAACGTATTTATTGAAAGAGAAAGAAAAAGAGAAAAATATGGAAGAGGGGATTAAAGAAAAAAAATATTTACAGGAAAGAAAATCCTACCTCAAAAAACACATGAGAATTGCAACTTCCTGGTGGACAGCCGAACGTAAATTAACCTCTTTTGTTTAATAAGGTAAATGTAAATTAACCTAAGATGGTAATACTAGATATCTAAATTTGTAAACAAAATTTGTAAACTAAATGATATGTCATTAATAGAAATGAACACGTTTATCTACGTTTAAGTATCATCAATTTTCATGTTATTTAATTTACAAAATTTTATCTACAATTTAGTTTCTTTACCTTATTTTTACAAATTTAATCTTCTTAATGTTACTTTCAAAAATACATACAAATTCTAACGGCTCTTTCTGTGTTGAAAAGTCATGAGAGATATATGCAAGTTGTAGTCTTTTGGAGATGGCAATCTGGAGAGTGGATGGGCCTTTTCTTGCCTCATAGGACGAGGGAGACTTTGAGACCTGGCTAGCTTATTTCCAACCAAGTAATATCAAGCCAACACGTGTGTCTTACACAATGATGCGGACTACACCACACCTAGGCAATCTATATATCCTACGTAATCCATGAAACCATTTCTTCAAACCCTACTTATCTCAAAAGGCAGAAGAAACTTTCACGCAACAAAAATATCATTATAACATATCCTTAAATTTATTCACATTGTTAAGTGTGTAAAATGCCAAACATTGTAACTTTTCATGTATTTCTAAATCACAAAGCGCAATCGTCAAATGCATTAGTTGGATTAGTGTTCAAGGTACTTGAAAACTCTGAAGTTTGAAGTGGACGTGTTTGTTAGCTAGCTGGTACCAATTTACAAAGTGAGAACTTCAAAACGCATGATAATGCGTGATTGGTTTATAATATTACTATAAATACCTACATTGATGTTGTTACATGTGATAATATATGGCACAATACGATGACACAATGTCATCCTAATCATGACACAAATGCAATTCATAATTAACACTGCTCTATGTATAATAATTAAATGTTAATTTTTTCTCATTTACTTTTTGAATGTTAACTATTTTCATTCTAAAGAATAATGTGAGTTATTCTTGCAATATTATTTTGTGTATTGCCCATTTTTGGTTGGACATAAACATGGCACGAGTATATATGTATCCATGTAAACATGACCTTGTGTCCACCCAGTAAGCTTATCTCCACTTAATGTCTTCGACAAGTTATCTTTCTTTGATACAAGCAACGTTGATGCCTAAGTGTAAGCTTTAAAGTTTAAACAACTTCAACTACAAGCTCATTACGAAATAATTTTCGTTATTATTTGAAAATGTAATTCTCGTACCCTTCCATTTATTACTAAAAGGTTAAAAAACTGAGAAATGGAAAGGAGATTTTCACAAAAAATGGGAAGACTCTATGCTATATCAATAATGAATGCCGATTCATGTGCCAACATTATAAAATATTGTGCTAAAAATATGAGATGTCAAAGAATGTATGAAGAGTGCCACTTTTGAGAGACCTTTAGCATTTCTCTAAAAAAATTGGGGAAATTAATTTCCCAATTACTATCACATCGTCATCGCATGTAACATTGAATCTGTCACGTGCTTTTCTGTGCTATACTGCATGGTAACATTTGCCGCCCGTATTCTGGAGAAATTTTTAATTGTGACGAAAATACAAGTGGTACACCACGTGTTTTAATATAAGTTGTGGGAAATTTTATTTTTTAAGTTATTAACTTTTTAGCACACATATCTCACCATTTGTATAATGACACGTGATGTAACATCCCATTCTGGGGAATTATACAAGGGACAAGGATTGTCTGCCCTCCCACTTCCCGTGCCCTCCTGTTTGTGTGGTCACAGTTAAATCACGTCAACATTTTATATTACTATTCATTTTTGTCTTATTATCTCTATAAAAAAACAATATAAAATATTGACGTGACTTAACCGTGACCACACAAAACAGTTCTTGTGAGAGGGTAGACAATCATTGTCCTTATACAAGGGGATTTATCTGGCACGGCACGACACACAAGGCTCAATCCATGAATTTTGAACTAGGCTAAGTTGACAACTGATTATGAGAAAATCAACTTGATGGTCGGTGCTGATTTTACACATCTACGGCACGCAACTGTTGCAGAATCCTGAGCATTGCCGTCTTTTTGACTATTTTACAATAAGGACATGCGTTTTGATTGGGGTCTTATTCTATAATTACCAGTCCACCAGACATGTCGTTTCTATTCCGTCGAAAATCAATTTTACGGTATAGACGCTTATGACATCTCCTTCTATGCCATGCGCTAAAGTTTTCTCTAACATTATGATTTTTACCACAACGATGTTGTACATATATCAAATTATCGCATGCCTTGAATTTCACTTGACTATCTACGGTTCTATTGTGTGTGCTCGAGATAGAAGTTTTGGGCCTCCATAATTTTATGATTGTAGTCCACGTGAGGGGAGGGCGTGGAGGTGGGGAGGGTGTTTGTTGTCCATGATGCATATTCGAGTGGCTAAATGATGGTGCCTACCACTAATCCATGACAAAAAGATTAGTAATTTGAATAATTACGGTTATCAAACTCTTGGGGAAATAAATAAATATTTGAAAATTAAATAACAACATATCTAATTTGTATAATTCTTCCAAGACAACCTAATGTCTACCATGCATTTCTTCTTTTTCTATGGCTACAGTCAACTAAAAGAAATACAAATTATGTTTCTTGTTGGTTGAATATATATATATATATATATATATATATATATATTAATATAATAAACGAATACAATGCCAAACTTGACACTTCGTATCCGTAAGTAATGTTTAAAATATCTACAAAATTGCCTATATTTCTGTCTAAATATTTGAAAAATCAAGGGTCAATATGGAAAGAGGGTTGAAATGCTAACTTCACCATATATCGGCAAAATATAGGAAAATCAATGAATATCAATAAAATTTACCAATTAACTGAATAAATTTTGTCGTAACCCATTGCTTTGAACTTTAGAATTTTAAAAAAATTCTCTAAATTTCGACTAAATCTGAATAAGTTGCTATACCCACCTCATTGCAAATTTCTCTAATTTTCGTCAAAAGCAACTTATTGATATCGATTTATCCATTGATATTTCCGCTTATATCAAATTATCAATATTAAAACACTACCCGTAAGAAATTAAAATTTGTATTATGTTACCAGAAAAAAGAGTTATTGTAACATAATAAAACTTTGGTTATTTTTTGCTTAAATAAAAACCAACTATGTGGGCCCTCTGATGAGCCCAGCTACATAGCAGATCAAGTACTCTTAAATGTGAAGGCCCAAAGAGATACTTTGACATCAAAAGGGCCAGGTTTCAAGCTCTAGTTTTTCTTGAATGGTAACAATTTACTTGTATAGGAACAAGTTTCCTTAAGCTAAAAAAGTTGAGCGTAGCTACATTAGCTAGAATAAATGCGCTCACTTTATGTGCTCAAGTTCAATTTTTATATTTACTGTTTAGATTAGTTTAAATTAGAAAATAAATATTGTATTAAGTATAAAATATACTAAAATACATATTATCAATATTACTCTAATCATCATCTTGTACATATGTTACACAGACATTCTGAAACTCCAAAGTGCGGAGTCTAATACACGATCAACAATTTGGACAGACACGGCATGGTTTTTTTTTGGGAAAAAGACTGTTTACTACTCTCATGTTTCGTGGTTTTCAACATTTAATATATCAAATTTTTTTCGTCCCAGAGTCATACCTAAAGTGCAAATTTTGGGACAGTCTCATACATCCGTTAGTCAAACTGTTAAGTGTTCCGTTAACTGTGACGTGGTGCCCATGTGGACAACGACTGGTGTCACGTGGATTTTTTTTTTGTTTTTTAAAGAAGGGGTTTTCACTTTTTTTTAAAAAAAGGGGTTCCAAAAAAAATTTTTTTCAACTTCGCTTCTTCTTGGGCAAATTTTTTTTTTTTTTTCGTTGCCGCTCTCTCTTCCTTCCTTTTCTTCTTCTCTTTCCAGATTCTTTTTTTTTTTTTCTTTTTTTTTCTTTTCTTTTCTTCTGGTCCTCTTCTATTGTTTGTGCCTTCCTCCTTCTCACTCCTCCTTCTTCTTCCTTTCCTTCTTCTCGCTCTGGGAACTTTCTTTCTCCTCCTTCTTCCTTCCTCTTCTTCTTCTCTTCTTACTTCTTTTCTTCTTTTGGGCTGAGATTCCTTTTTTTTCCTTCTTCTCTTCTCCTCCTTCTCCTCCTTCCTTTCTTCTTTCCTTCTTCTGGACAGATTCGGTTTTTTTTTTTTCTTCTTCTTCTCCTCCTCCTCCTCCTCCTCCTCCTCCTTCTTCTTCTTTCTTCTCTTCTTCTTCTTCTTCTTCTGGGGCAGATTCGTTTTTTTTTTTCCTTCTCTTCTTTTTTTTTTTTTTGTTTTTCTTCCTTCTTTCTCTTCTTCTTCTTCCTGGTTTTTTTTTTTCTTCTTTCTTCTTCTGGTTTTTTTTTTTGTTTTTTCTTCTCCTTCTTCTCCATCTTCTTCTTCTTCCTGAGCGTGGAGTCGAAGATGGTGATGGGAGGGTGGGCACGGGTGGGATTGAAGATGAAGGTTTTGTTTGTTTTTTTTTTTAATAAATAAATATATTTTTAATTTTATTTATTTTTTTAATTTTCACATGGATGACACATGACGCCCAGTCATTGTCCACATAAGCGCCACGTCACAGTTAACGGGAGACTTAACAGTTTGACTAACGGATGTATGAGACTGTCCCAAAATTTACACTTTAGGTATGACTCTGGGATGAAAAAAACTTGATGTACTAAATGTTGAAAACCACGAAACATGAGGGTAATAAACAGTATTTTGCCCTTTTTTTTTAATATAAATATAAATGATATTTTGGGGCATTTTTGTAAATGTAAAACTTTTAAAACCTATAAAGTTTGCCTATTGGGTCTTACTCCACTACTCTTCATCTCCTCAAAACTTGGAATGACTCTTGCCACTCCCCTCTGCCGCTGTAGCTGGCTAAAATCCAGCCGAATACATGGGAATTAGGCTGCACATAGCTAGCTTCCAACTCCTTCAACACAATTTTTGCACTTTCCTACCTACCTGCATTCGCATAGGCATCAATGAGCAGACCGGAAGTGTGCTCATCCGGTGAAATGCCGCTTTTCCATCTTGGACACGATGGATTTGGCATCTTTCAGTTCACCTGCCTTCACATAGCCTTTGCGGAGGGCATTGTAAGCCCTGGGCCTGGGATGCAATCATCCTCCTAAAACCTAATTATGTTTGAATAAAAGAAATAAACTTGAAATTTAGATAAAAATTAGAATTTATAAATTCACATGTACCAATTCCCTTATTTGGATTCATAAACATAGAAATTTAGAATTTCCGCGTGGAAAAAAAAATTGGAATTTGGGTCCTCCAATTCCCACCATGTAAATAGGTGTCATTTCCCAATGGCTTATTATAGTAGCACCCCACAAATTGTTGAATAAACATCACGTACTTAATACACCCCACATTTACTTTTTCAATTAAAAATTATCTTAATACACCTTACTTCATTCCCCATAATACCCTCACACCCCACATTTTTAATATACATCTTACATTTTCTACACACACCCCACATTTTTTATAAATCCCACATTTCTGAAATCTTATAACACTCATTTTTTATTTTGCCGAATGATTTCAAACTATATGAACTTTAATTTGCTGAATGATTTCAAATTGAATGATTTAAAAAAAAATGTTTAGACTCATTTGAACATTTTTTAATAACAATAATAATGATTTCAAAGCTTTCGAAACACCGATTTCGTGTTCCATTCGTCAAAATAATTTTGCTCAATCAACATGTTTAAAGTTTCATTGCTTAGGGTTTTATTCAACAATGGAGAATGAGAGGGATTTTGATAGTTGAAATAAATAAATAATACGTTAAAAGAGATTTGTAGTGTATTTATAAAAATTTTATTATTTTTTAAACCTAATAAGGTCAAAATTGTCATTACATAGAAGAGTAAATAAGTCATTAATATTAAATTTTAATGTGGGGTGCATTCAACATTTTGTGGGGTGCTAATATAAAAAGTCTTTCCCAATTTCTATGATTGAGAGTTTAAAAATAACAAATTTCGTTTTCAATTCCATTCTTCTTTTAGGTTAACCAAACATGAAAAATTACAAATTCTAGAAAATAAAATCTTATCATTTCAATTTCTGTCATTTTAAAATTTCTTAGTAATCTTAAATTTCTTCAGCCAAACATAATGTAAATGTTTGTGTTTTAATTATTATATATGAATTTGATGAATACAAATACTTTGTTACGTTATCAATTCGAAATATTGTTTTTAATATATGTAATTTTTTTTGTCATAAATTTACTGTATTTTAATAGTCGTGTCTTACCCATGTCTATGTCCATATATTTGAGATTTATCGTGTTGCCGTATCCGTATCTGTGCATAGTATTCATCTATCTGTATATCTTTATATACCCACAAACCCAAATAAGCGTGAAATTGATTGCTGCATTGACTTAATATATTAAACACTTGCAGTTGCTGAACAATTTTAAATGAGCAAAAGTTAGAGCTCCAATCTTCAAATGACTGAATAAAAAGTTCCGCGACCAAGAGGAGAAGAAGAAGAATTTGTCAGGAAAACTGTTCCAAAACAAGATGGCTCGTCTTTTGGTCTGCTGACTGAGAAAAGTTTTTTCCTGTCAAAGAATAAGAACAGACGGTCACAAACTGATCAACTAGAAAAAACATTGTTTGGCTCCTTATGTGTAAGGGGTTTCCTGTTTGACATCGAATGACAGTTTGATACGTGAAGAAACAGCTTGCTAAAAGAATAAAAGAAAATTTTATGCAAGCGCATGTCAAAATTGTGATATGAAGAAGCTGATCGAGTATTTGAAATGTAACATCTCAGACATGAATAAAGCAAACAAGCTGGGGCAAGGGACAAAGAGGGTGAGAGATTTAGGCACAAACCTGCATCCTTCTGGCTTGGAGAAACCGGATGACTATTTCTTAAGGTGATAAAACGATCTTAGGAAAATGCTGAGGTCTCCTTTATTAGTTTTTCGTAAAAAAAGAAGTAAGAAACAGAAACAAGACTACAAAACTTTATAAGTCCGAACTATCAAAAGTTCAGATTTTCAAACCATGTATTGCACAGTTGCATTAGTGTACAAGCCTCAATTGACTTTAAAGGGAGGTAAAAAAACACAAGAACTTTGTGATTTCATTATTCTGAACTCAACATTTAAATTCAAGATTAATTCATAATTTTTGGAAACAATTTGCTATAAATAGACGTGTAAAGGAACAAAATCGACATTACCTGGAAATCCAGTCACGCCAATAAATTATAAAATCGCCAGGCCTTATACAGGAATAAAATTTAGAAAATTCATATTCATCCATCTCTAAATTTCTGCATGAAATAAAGGAAAAGATTTATAACTCAATCACATAGTAATACAAATTATTTAACTTCTACCAGACCAAAAATGAAGGCAAGATGCAAATATTCAACATTGTATGTTGCTGATTTTCACAGAAAGAGAAGCAAACAAATTTTAAGAGATCATACCTAGGATCAGCCACAATTTGGACTTTAGAGCTACGACCCCGTAAATCATAAAAGAAATGCTTGGAATCGGAGGACGGCATTTTGTTCAGTATTTGCCCTAATTGAGGGGGGATACTAAATTATTACTTAATTCAACAAAAACATATTGAAATTATCAATCGACGTCACATATTGGGTTAGGTCAGTTGTGTGTCGGTTCTTTTTTACCATGTTTAATCTTGAATACCATACAAGGATACTGTGATGTCCTCTCTATGCTCCCCCTTGTTGAGGCGGGCTCCAGACTCCTGTACGTACTGAACGATCGTCATCGAAGCAGAGAATTCATTGCGGTGCTTATTAGGGTTTGATTTATCATTCGTCTTCTCTAGCTTGGCGCCTTCTCTCCTCGCCACATTTTGAGGCCTGACGGTGGACTTCAACTCTTTGCACTGGTGGCCCTTGGTTAATTGAGAAGATTGTGGTGGCGGTGGCAGCGATGATGGCTCCTTTTCCGAAGAGAGAAGGTGTTGGGAAAGACGGTTGAGGTGGTTGATGATATATATGGTGGCGTTTCACGATGCTCTGGAGGTGGCCGAGCTCTTCCAAATCCAGCGCTAACTCCTCTGCCATATTTCCTCTCTCTTTGATGCTACAAGTCAAGGTGGAAGGTTTATACATCGGATGGATTCTGATTAGGGGTTATATGTGTGTTTGTGTGTGTGCGCGCGTGTATATATATATATATATATATATTTGGATAAATCTCAGTTTACTATCTTCAAGTTTTGTGGTTTTTAACATTCATACATTCAGTACATGAAGTGTTTTTTCATCCCAAAGTCATGCCTAAAGTGTTAATTTTGAGACAGTCTCTGTCTGTTAAGTCTCCCGTTAACTGATGATGTGGCGCTCATGTGAACAATGATTAGACGCCACATGTCATTAAAGGGTCCATGTGGAAATTAAAAAAAAAAAATCTCGCCCAAACTTAAAATATTAAAATAATTAATTAAATAAAAGTATTATAAAAAATAAAATAAAAACCCGAAACCCCCTTCGTCTTCCCCACCCTCCACCCCTCCATCCTCTCCACCCCTCACCCATCGACACCCTTCCCCTTCCCTGATACCCAACCCTACCACCAAGCTTTTTCTCCTTCCCCAAAAACCCAGCCCCTTCCTTTCCCCCAAAACCCCAAAAAGAAGCAACATTTAAGTGCACCTGGAGGAGCTACTACCCTTGAACTGGTGAACATGGGCATCAACCCTTTTGAAGTCTACAGTTGGTTGTTCTTTGTGCAAACAAAAAAAGGGAAATTATGCACTCCTTAAAAGTATCTGTAGCAAACCATGAGCACCACATAAATAAATCCAACCAGTCCAATCTAATCCCGGAGACAAAAAGATAGTGGAAAGAAAGATCCTGGATTCTTACAGAGCTCTGGTGAGATCATTAAGAAGCTTCTTAGAATCTTCAAAGAAAAGAGACACCACACTTGAACAACAAAATCTGGGTTGCTCTCATCCTGCAGCTGTTGGAGCTGCAAAAACTAACCATCCAGAAACCCATTCTCTCACCCAACCAATAAAAAAATCCCAAAAAACAAAAACATCAGGAACAAAACAAGCAAAAACAAGAAAATCAAAACAACCCCATCTGTGATTTATGCTTAAATTTCACATTTTTTCTGTTGCTTTTACCTCCAGGAACAAGGATTTTGTGTAGTCAACCCACTGTCTCTGCATCTGCCCCACCTCCATGTCTTTACTTTTGTTCCTCTCCACACAGGCAGAGTAAGAGAAAGAGAGCCAATAGAGAAAAGCTTGTGCCTTGAATTGCAGATCTTGAGGAATTATTGCACAAATCAGAGACTATAATGTTATAAAATTTTGGGAAAGCCAGAAAAAGGGTTTGGTGAATTCAATGTGAAAAAACAAAATCCAAAGACTGCTTGCTTTGGGGTATTTGACCCATCTGGATGTGTGCTTGGTGGTAGGTTTTTGGGGAAGGAGAAAATGCTTGGTGGTAGAGGTGGGTATTAGGGAAGGGTGTCGGTGGGTGAGGGGTGGAGGGGACGGGGGGCGTCGGGTGGAAAAGAAGAAGTGGTTCTGCGTTTTTTATTTTTTTTTTTATAAATACTTTTATTTAATTATTTATTTTAACATTTTAAATTTGGGCGAGAATTTTTTTTTTGAATTTTAATTTCCACATGGACCTCTTAATGACACGTGACGTCCAATCATTGTTTACATGGGCGTCACGCCCACGTCATCAGTTAACGAGAGACTTAACAATCAGACTAACGGATGTATGAGACTGTCTCAAAATTAACACTTTAGGTATGACTTTGGAACGAAAAAAACTTCATGTACTAAATGTTGAAAACCACAAAACTTGAGGGTTGTAAATTGAGATTTACCCTATATTTTGTCACGGTCGGTTTGTGTCTGCGATTAGGGTTCGGTCGTAGTGGACGAAGAAATCGTATTTGAGGAACAAGTGTCTTGGATGGGCGGGTCGGGCGGATAATTCATGAAGAAGGCCCACTTTCCACATAAAATTGTGTTGATGAACAAGGCGGGTCTAAGATAAATGTGTCAACCCTGTACCCGTGCAATTCCTCATCGAATTTCCTTATATTCAAATTCGTTATAGATTTTCCCCATCAGAAAACAGTTTCACTAGAAAAATGTACTTGTTCAAAATTAATTTTTTTTGTTGGAAAGTTTTCGTAATTAATTGAAGATTGTGCTTAAAAAAATTCAATAGCGATTCATGAAAAAAAAATTCTCTAAAACTAATTAGTATTCACTAGTCATCCAAAATATCTCACTCATTTTTGGGTTCGTTTAGAGCTGTTTTTTCAAGATTTATTTGTGTTTTTTTATTAAGAATTGGTCCCAAAAATATTTTCACAAAAAACACTTTCAGTTATTATAATACAACTTCTAAACAAGTTATTCATCAATTGCATTGAACCATATACTCAAATAAAAATAAAAATAAAAAATAGAAATAAATAAGGTACTTATAACCCACGACAATCAAAATTATAACCGAATCATGAATTTTTTTTCTATATCTATCAAAAATCTGAAGTTTTCATTCCCGTCTCAATTTCCAACAAACAATAAACTAAACTCAATATGGACAGACCAAAAGTGTCGGTTCATGAAGGCTTGTGAGGATGTATAGGTCAAAACTAGTTCGGTTCTTTCCAATGAAAATGAAAAGAGATCAAAATTGTACTGGGTTTATTGTCTTAGACAATAGAATGATCAATGATTTGCAAAGGTGTAGTTCAAATATGACTAAAAGCGTTTATCCATGTACTCGAATTCACATATTTGAATCACTCCCTCTCTACTACAAGTGTTCATCCATGTTCATGTAAGTTGTAATGTCAACGTCTTTGTATGAGCCATGGGTCATACCATATTGTCCAACTTGATTAGAATTATGAATAAAGTAAAAATGTGTAAATAGTTTGATGTAGGAGTATCGGTTTACCTTAATTATGTTTAAAATATTCTCAAATCTTGGACAAATTTTTCAGCATGCCAGTAACACGGCTGGATACATAAAATGTCATAATATAATTGATTTGGAATTTTTTTTTAAGTTTTCAACCAATTGTATTATGACATTTGGTATACAGGATCGTATTCCTGGCATACTAAAAATTTTCTCTAGATCTTGGTTGGTTTTTGATAATTCCAAATATTGGGTTAGCTGTCATCCGATAGAAGTTTGGTTTGGAATTGTGTGGATTAGGTGATGCCTTGTATGCATATAATAAACTTTACCCTCCAAATGATTCAAATGTAATCTATTTTATTCACCAAAAGAAGAAATTCCCAGCAGATCAATGAACCAAAGATCACATGCCAATAGAATTAGTGAGTGGATCAAGTTTGCTTTGCTCCCTTCCAAATCCATATGTCACTAATTGGTTTTTGTTGTCTACGTATTATGTTTGAAAATTTGTCAGACGTAAAGGAGCGTGTTGAGAGTACCAATCTCACATTGGAAAAATGAATGACCTTACATGTGCTTATAAGTAGTTGTGTTACTTTTCATATTACTAATTAATTTATAGTGGAACTCGTACTTCTGTTTGATGCGAAATTTTGCAGACTGGAATAACTATATAAGTTTGATTAATTGCACTCCACCTCTTAATTTCTAATTATTCCAAAGATCCCACCTGCAACCCTACTTTGAAACATATTTTTATTTATTCCGTTGATTAAGTTATTAAATTTTGGGTTTCAAATGGGGACAGGTATTAGCCGGTGTGGATTGAAGAGATAGTGGAATAAGTTCACATTTGCAGTAGTTAGGAATTACTACAGAGGACTCGTTGACGGCGGTCAGAGGTGGATTTCACTAGGGATTTTGGTCGAGGTCGATGAATGGCATAATTGTGAATTGTGAGTGGATTCATATATGATCATGAAGTCAATGTGAATTTACTATCCACACAACATTTGCATGCAAAATGTCTTCAGTCTACAAAATGATTCTATATAGGAATGAGATCATCACCAGACCTCTACCACAGAGTAGATGGACTTAAAAATCCAGGTCATTCGAGAGAGATCAGGGTGTGAGTTTGTTTGTTTGGTGAGCTAGTAGAATGAATTAATAAGAGCCGCATGATTTAAGTTGAATGATCCAAGTTTTTAGGTCCGTTTATTCCGAAGACAGAGATTTGGAGATGATCTCATTCCTAGCTTCACACCTCACATCATTAGTGTCAAGGTGGCGCTATTAATATAGTCATGTTTTTCTTGGCAAAGCAAGTGCTTATCAAAACGAATGCAATGTGGTGTTATTTCTTGTGGATTGACAGCCTTGTTTGACAAACCATGCATTATATATAGTCAAGAAGGATAGTAGGGTAATTCGCATGGCATGTATGGGCTTATCATAGCCTTTGATGCTTGTTCGCACGTACCTACGTGGTCACTTTAACCTTTGAAGCTTCTTGTTGGATGACGACTTTTACTCTCGTTAATTTTCTCCATTCTCCAATGCTCATTATTTTTGTCATTTGGTTCTCTTTTATTTTTAAATTTATTCAGCAACGACTGTAAAAACCATTTTTCCAACCAATAATCAATGAGCCATTTTCCTAACCAATAATCAACTACGTAGCTAGTATTCGAAGGTCTGTAATGGTGGACATGTTTTGAACTAACTACACGTCGAGCGCTTAATTAAGCGGAGCTAGTGGTCACTCGTTCGTTACTTGTTCTAATTGTAATAAAGAGTTTTAGATTCAATTTTACACTACATACGATATTCCACTCCGGCACTAGCTCTTCACTTGGTTATACAATACAAATTTGCAGGTAATTCTTTTGGATTCAAATGCGTTAGGATTCAAGAATGTATGTACGTAAACACCAAATAGTCAACTTATTATATTCCCCATATCAATTCTGTACTAATAAATATGGGCAACCAAAACCATCTGGATAAGGAATACGTTACATATATAACAAATCAAAACTTCCCGAACACTAGTAAAACAAAACCACAATATATCACCAGAATAACCCAGCTTTGACAAGAAGCTCTCTAAACCAAAACCTTCAAGAAGCCAAATATTGGGGGATGCGTGACATTTATGTTCCAACTTCCACAGTTTGAGATTTTACCACTTTTGTTGAAAGGAATGTGCTATCCATACATCCCTTTTTACTTCTCACACACCCCTTGTTAATTTATGTCCGTTAATCTTCTTCAATTCATCTGATCCGACGGCCGAAAACCAAAAAGGTGTGGAAAAAGTAAAAATGGGTGTTTGGATATCACACCCCTTGTTGAAATTGTATCCTTCTCAACGAAACAACGAACCCCTCTGTCCCTCTCACCGTCACTTGTAAACCTGGAATTAGCTAGCTCCCACCAATCATCTGTTCTCCACCTGAAATTATATATATATATGGAATTGCTTAAGGGGAGGGATCCCCATTTTTTCAAAAAAATGGGGACACGCTCCCCACCGTTGGATTTGAATTAAATGAAATCCTGTGGTTGAGATTCTATGGCTTGTGTTTTAATCTCAACCACACAATTTCATTAAAGTCAATCTAACGGTGGGGAGCGTGTCCCCATTTTTTTAAAAAAAATGGGGATCCCTCCCCTTAAGCTCCCTGATATATATATATACAAAACCAAGACTAAACCACAATAATCTTGGTCCAAGTATATATAGAGTGGTTCATTCATTCTTGGAATATTAGGTATGCGTATGATGTATTTTTGTAAACATATAGATTCATAACAAGCGTCTAATTATAGTCCGAACACCTGAAAGTATTCTTGTCATTACATATTAAATAATATATTTGACACAATAGAAGCCCTTTAGCGTTCGTTGTACTCTCAGATTATGTATAAGTATTCGTAGCCCCAAAAAACAATGGATCTCACAAAAAAAGTAGCAACTCATGTAAGCAAATTTCTATCACTCTCACTCCATTTGCGAATACACTTATACTCTCTCTTTTTTTAATTCTTTTTTCTTACATATTTTTCTTGCAATTTGGCTAATTAATTATTGTTTTAAATTCTATAGGAATTAAAATTTCAAAGTGATTTAACGTTCATGGGCATTGAAATTTTCAAATAATTTTTTTCAAAATTGTAAGATACTAATTTACAATTGGTGTTAGGTAAATTGTTGTGTTGTGTTGTATACGTGAAAATCAAATTATTTCAGAGATGGTTTGTATCTTTCAACGGATGAGATTGAGATAAGAGAATTTAATCCAACGAACGGTACATAAGTGATAAAGTCTAACTTTGTCACAATTTGAACTTTTTTAGGTTGAAAGGTTCATAAAAAAAGTTTAAGATAGGACGTCCAAAAATCAATTTAAGAAAAGTTTAACACAAATTTTTTTTATAGCATAATCAAATTACTCATAAATAAATATATATAACCCCAAATATAGTCCGAAAGAAATAACCCCTTATCAAGAGAAATTCTTTTATAAAGTTCCAAAAATTCATCGGAGCTCTAAAAATATCCACCACTTTTCTAAAGGCACCAATGACTATAACCTAATATTTTGCTGGGGGCCTGACCGCCTGGAGGCAAAACCAATCCAACCAAACAAGAAGTGACTGAAATATTAGCAATGAATCATGAAAAAAGCAAGAGCTTTGGTTCGCATGTAAACCCGTGTAACTTTGGAACTAAACCATGCAAATGAAACCAGTGTAATGTAAGATCCTTTCAGTGTGCCGGATTCCTATATTTAGTATATAAAATCGTATTTCTAGCACACTGAAAAATTTTCTCTACTAAATGTACATTTCCAAACATACCCTCACCCTACTTCACTTTTTAGTTTTTGGTCAATCACCCCACTTCACTAACTCCCCTTGACACATTTTCCTCCAACACACCCTTTCATTTATTCATTATATTCTCTCACTGCCTCTCCATCTCTCTCTCACTCTCTCCATCTCTCATGGAATTTGAAAATTAAAACCCAGTTGCAGGAAACATGGGAACCCTGTTGAGATTTTCACTTCTTCTGGTGCTGATTGCAGCAGCAGAAGCAGAATCCACTTGCAACGGCACAGACCAAGCCCAAGTCTCCAAGGCTTTCAAGTCAGTCTCCGGTTTCAACCTCTCCTGGCTCCAAAATTCAAACCGACCCAACTGCTCCAACCCACCCATCACTCAAGTCAACTTCCCTTCCAGAAACCTAACCGGAATAATCTCATGGAAGTACCTCAGAAACTTGTCAAATCTTCAATCCCTCGATCTCTCATCCAACAATCTCAAGGGCTCCGTCCCTGGATGGTTTTGGACTCTTCCGAGCCTGGTCCGGGTCAATCTCTCTAAGAACTGGCTCGGTGGCAGCTTTGGACTCGAGCCCGCGTCAGGAAACAGTTCAACCTCTTCCGTCCAGGAGCTCAATCTCTCATCCAACCGGTTCACGAACTCGGCCCAGCTCTCTGGCTTCCCAAATCTTACATTTCTCGACCTTTCCCACAACGATTTGGGCACTCTGCAACCCTCTGCTTTCTCCAACCTCACTAATTTGCAGCACCTCGACATCTCGAGCTGCAGAATTTCTGGGAATTTAAAACCCATCTCTGTTTTGCGAGGATTGGAGTATTTAGACGTTTCGGAAAACAAAATCAACGGTTCTTTCCCTTCGGATTTTCCTCCGCTTACCGGCCTGAAATTCTTGAACATATCGCTCAATAATTTCACCGGCCGGGTCGTACCGGAAAATTACCTGAAGTTTGGGAAAAGCGCTTTTATCAACGCCGGAAAAAACCTCACTTCTTTCGGCAGTTCCAAAACCAAAGCCCAAAGCCTTCACAATTCCAATGCAAACCCACCTCACAAAACCCTCGAAAAACAAAAACCCAAATCGCAAAACTCCCATAAAATTCTTGTTCTGAGCATATCCTGCGCATCCGCATTTGTAATCCTCTTGTCCATAAGCACTTGCGTAGCTTGCATATGCAGGAAAAAGCACTTTGCCAAAAAGCACAAATGGGCGATTTCCAAACCCGTTCAGTTAGTCCCGTTCAAGATCGAGAAGTCGGGGCCGTTCTCTTTCGAGACCGAGTCGGGGACGTCGTGGGTCGCCGACATCAAGGAGCCGACATCGGCTCCGGTCGTGATGTTCGAGAAGCCGTTGATGAACTTGACGTTTAAGGACTTGATTGCTGCCACGTCGCACTTCGGTAAGGACTCCCAGCTTGCAGAGGGGAGGTGTGGGCCCGTCTACACCGCCGTGCTGCCCGGCGACCTCCACGTGGCGATCAAGGTGTTGGAGAACGCCAGGGACGTTGAGTACGATGATGCTGTGGAAGTGTTTGAAAATCTTTCGAGATTGAAACATCCCAACCTGCTGCCTCTCTCCGGTTACTGCATTGCAGGTACGGTACACTTCACACACACACTCTCTCTCTCTCTCTCACTCACCGGCCGGTCGGTCGTTGATAATATCACCAAACTACATAAATGCAACACACGGGTTTTAATTGCAATGTCGTAAATGACAACAGTCCGTACGTACGACACTGTTTGGCACCATCGTCACGCAAAATCTAATTTAGCACAGCATAGGCTACGGTTGCTTGCTATTTGTATGATTTGATTCATAAATATGTCTCACATGCTTACTAAAAATTAGTGTGTTTTACGACGAAATTTACAATGCACCAGTGTATGAACGCACTAAAGCATTAAACGGCTAAACTGCTGACTTTTAGTAGCCTTGTTCTCTCAATTTAACGGTTCAAACAATAATGCATCTCATACATTGGAGTTTCGTAGAAAAACCATAAAATATGAGATACATATAGAAACAGAGCGAGATGTGTGCATAAAAAGTTTTAGTTCATCCATTGAGGCCGTACATCAAACATTAAATATTTGAAGGTAACATTCAAAGGGTTATTGGAAGATATTCACTTGTATATTTCACAGTTTCCGAATGTACATCCGTCCCGTTGTAACCTAATATTTGAGCTAGTTAAATGGTTTGGGGCTAGTTCATCTCATTCTTTTTCTTCCTTACTTTCCTAATTCGGTTATTAGATCATAAGTAAGTACACATTGCACTAAATCATATTCAAAACTAACTCATCGAATCGTATTTATTTTGTTGACAGGGAGAGAGAAGTTGGTATTGTACGAGTTCATGGCGAACGGGGACTTGCACAGATGGTTGCACGAGCTGCCCACCGGGGAGCCCAACGTGGAGGACTGGACTGGTGACATGTGGGAGCAAAGTTTTGGTTATGGAGCCCACTCGCCCGAAAAGAAAGGATGGCTCACGCGCCACCGCATTGCGGTTGGAATAGCGCGTGGGTTGGCGTACCTCCACCAGGCGGGGTCAAGGCCCGTTGTCCACGGCCACCTTGTAACTTCGAACATATTGTTGGGCGGGGATTTTGAGCCGAGAATAGCCGATTTCGGGTTGAAAAGTATTGGGAGTAGGCGGGAAATTGGTGGCGGAGGTGGTGGCAGCGGGGCGGAGACGGATGTGTATTGTTTTGGGGTGGTGTTGATGGAGCTGTTGACGGGGAGGACAGGGACGGCGGAGACGGTGGTGTGGATGAGGAGGATGGTGAGGGAGGGCGTGCGGTGGACGCACTGGACGAGAAGTTGAGAGAGAGTGGGGAGTTGGAGAAGGAGATGGTGGAGAGCCTGCGAGTTGGGTACCTGTGTACGGCGGAGTCGCCTGGGAAAAGGCCCAGCATGCAACAAGTTCTGGGTTTGCTCAAAGACATACATCCCAGTACGACTACTGTGGGCTTGGGCTGACGTCATTTCATTTCACGCGAGGGATTTTTCAGTGTAATCAATACACCATCACGTGTTACTATACAAATAGTGAGATATGTGTGCTAAAAAGTTAATAACTTAAAATATAAAACTGCCCACCACTTCTATTAAAACACGTGGTGTACCACTTGTATTCATATCACAACGAAAAATTTCTCGTTTCACGCCCTGTGAATTGCGTGCAATTGGAAAATTAGAAATGAAATTGAAATGTTTTCTAGTTTATTTTTAGTCTTTGTGTTTGTAGTCGATTGAAGAATTTAATAGACGAAAACAAACAAAGGTGTGAAAAAAGAAAACAAGTATGTGGATATCATTTTCTTTGTCACTTTGCATTTTTTCAAATGTACTTTTTTTATTACGCGTTTATAAGAAAAAATGACTCCCGCACATATTTTTTTTTCATTCTGCCTACCACTGTTTATTTGAATTCGTTGATTTATACAATGTCAAGCCTACGCATAAATATAATGTGCAGGAGAAAAAGGAGTGTTGGAAATACTTTTCTCTTATAAATAAAGAAAACAAGGTAAAATTTTTGCGTGCTCCAAAATCAAAAGGTGAATAAAGGGGACAAGAAATTTTACAGTGTGTTGTTGGGAACATGCTTGATACATCAATATTATTACCTTTAGTATAGTGGATCGTGTTTTTAGCATGCTGAAAAATCTCTCGAAAGAGACCACGTTTTGTTGTCTTAAATTTAAGAAATGTATAGTATTTCTTTTACAAATTAGTGATCTAAACGCAAAAATCTTAGGAAAAAAAAATAAAGTAAAAATTACTTCGGAAAATGGGATGATGGTGGGGGGAAGGGTTGTTGAAGTTTAGGTGAGTAGAGAATCCCACTTATTGCTTGTCTCTTGTGAAAGGATTCTCATCATCACCACCTTTATCTTTAATATTTTAAGCTTCTTCATATTTTCTTTTTCCCCTTTCTTTTTGTTTCTAGTGTGACTCTGCTTTATTCGTTCATCTTTTTGGTGATTTATTATTTTAATTTTTCAAAAAAAATAAAGAGAAATTAAAGGAGATTAATTAGATATACTTTATAGTTGGATGGAGAGATCAGATACCTCTTCCTAAGCATGAAAAATGACAATTACGTGTTTGGTTTCGTGGGAGAATTTTCTAGTGGGCGGGGGACGTTTAGCCAATGCCAATTGGCCGTATGTTTAATTTGTACATGTTTGGTATTATTCAATGATTTTGACACGACGATGTTGTTCTTGTCGCCACTGTTTTTGGTTATTTTTGTCTGCAGAATCAACTGTGTGTGTTCCTTCTCCCATTCCCATATGGAAACCCTAGTTGAAATTCTCCATGCGTGAGATATTATCATGCGTTGATGAAAGTAAGTCTCGTAACTCATCAACAACTAACAATCTATCATGCGTCGATGAAAGTTAATCTAGTAAATTATAAACTACTGTCAGCATGGCTGCAAGAGAAAGAGGAGGGGGTGGGGGGAACTGTGAATTATTATATGCGTTTTTAAAAATGATCCTCGTAACTCATCAATAGCTAACGACCTGTCATGTGTTGATGAAAGCTAATCTAATAACTTATCAACAGTTAACAGCGGGGATTGTCGATAACATAACTTAGTTGAAATTCTAATATGAGTGCTAATTAGCTTATTAATATTGCATGTCATCGTTAAAGCAAAAGTGGAGAGCGTTTTCTGAGCCAGAAATGGTGTATAGGATAACAAGACGTCATCGTCCAGCTTTATTAGTTTGAAGTCATGTCCTTAAGACTCCAATACCGGGGTGGATCTCTCTCGGTCACAGCCATCTTGGTAAAAAGTAAAATGTAAAAAGCTGAGATGCTGGTCCAGTACTAATTATGACTAATGATTTAAAACTCAAGCATGTCTGACTGTCATCCCTAAAGTCGGTTGCAACTTGGAAAACTGGAAAATCTTTGTGGGTGCATGCAACGCATTGCCATAGCTATCTGTAGAAATTAGAACGAAAGACACAAAAGCAAAAGAGAAACAGTATTTTCAAAAGCAAGACAACGATGGAGAGAAATAGAAAGCTCATCAAGAATTCCGTGTTCTTTTGGTGTCTAGTCAATGAGAACTTATATAACACAAATACATTGTTATATCGGCATTTCATGTTAAAAACACAATGATAGGTTTTATATTTTCTCTAAGTATTCTTGTATCATTAATACAGAACGCTACTGTAACATGATACTTTAATACAAGTTGATCTCTTTGCTCCGACTCATCATAGCCTTTATATGTCTATTTCTTTTAAGTTTTAAATGGTCAAGCAGCCCTCAGTTTGATGACTGTCGGTCGACAAAACACTTCCTATATACTTGGTAGAGTCCAAGGAGCCAAAAGCTTGAAAGCCGTTAATTTCGTTGTCGCACATCACATCATGTTGCCTCAACGATAAGGCCACAACATTCTGACATGTAACCATAGACCAAGTCTACTGCATTTAGACATCACAATCTCGCATGGATTATTTTTTATGAGACAAATTTGAAGGGTGTTTGTGAAGTTTGAGTCCTATTCTTACCTTTGGATGTGAACTCTTCTCCTCCTCATGCTTGCACCACTCAAACCATGCACAATTTGTGAGCCGAAACCTGTTTTCAACTAATGACCACATTGTCTTGTGGTATTTGGTTTATTCTTTGATGAGAGACGGTCTTGAGTTTAAATATTATAGACAATATTTATCGCTCGAATTTTAGTATCATTTGTACATAAGTTTGACTTAACTAATTTGCACAACCACTAGTTTTCTTGACGTCCATGCATATTAAAATATGATTTACTAGAATTATTCAAATTCTCGACTTGATGGATACATTCCTTACTTTCACTGTACTTTATTTATTCACTAACACTACATGCATTGTAATAAGAGTTCAGCTCATACTACACATTCTTAGTTAGATTTATTTTCATACTTTAATTTATTCGTACATTATACAAAATTACTTGACTTCGTCACCCTCTGAGTATCAGCCATCATGCCTAGGTGTACACATATATATATATATATATATATATCAGGATCAAGGTGTGTCGTATCTTCTCTCTTTCTGAATCCACGACTTCCTTCGTTGAGATTTGAATTTACATCATAAAACAATTTTTCCTAGCCCTACTTCTCGTCGGCCTTGATAATGAGAAAAGGCCCAACGGTGTCCTCTAGGCCCAAGTAAAATTCAATCAACAAAAATCCAACCCGTCCTTCTCAATCTCTCAGGTCTCGACCCGATATGCAATTTGGGTTTTCGTTTCCTTCCTCCGATCGATCGTCAAAACCCCCAAATCAATTGCTACACCAATTTCAGATAGTTAGTTAATCAATTAGCGCGAATTCAGAAACACTAAATCCCCAATTTCTCTCCACTTCCTAACCCCATGGCCTCGAGGAAGAAGCAATCCGACGCCATAGCTCTCCTGCTGTCCAACTACAACGACGAGGAAGAGGATGAAGATATGGAGGACGTTGAGCAACAAAACGACATAGAAGAAGAACTCGAAGGGGATGAAGAGCGACGAGAACGGAGAGAATACGACGATTACGGTGAGCTGAGAAAAGGCTCGGGAGATGCTGCAATGGTGGATGTGGATGGAACGGTGGCTGGTGAGTCTGGGAACGACGATGGCGCACCGCCGAATGCCGGGGATAATGTGGCGCCTTCGGATGGTTTGAATGGGAGAAGAAGAAGAGGGACGTTTACGATTGTGGACTATGGGCGTGATGAAGTTGCTATGTCTCCTGAGACTGAGGTATTCTCTTTTCTTTTTTCTCTTTCTTTTTTTGGTGGAAGTTTTTGCTTTCTGTGAAACTTGAAGAAACTGAATGAAAAATGATTTGGGCGTTCTTAATTTGATTGATTTTTTTGGTCTTAAAGTCGGATTCTTGTTCCAGTTTTTTATTGCAAAGGATGACACTTTGAGTTTGAGTATTCGAAAATCGATCGTCATGCTGGATTTTTCCCTGCCAAATGTAGAATTTAATCTTTGATATTGGATATTGAATGATGTCCCGTTTAGATTCATACATTAATTACGGGGTGAGGAAACTTTGTTATCTAGCTGACCTTATTAGTATGTTTGTTGGGTGATTCTTGATTGCAGGAGGGTGAAATAGAAGGAAGTCGTCGTGTTCCTGGTGATTTCCATGATAAGACACCTCCAGGAACAGTTCGCACTCCTCAGTTATCTGAACCGTCAAACTCTGACACAGTGAACGAAACTGTACTTGAATCAGAGGGTAGAGATGCCGCAGAAGCTGTTGCAGAAGAGCAAAAGGATATTGATCCATTAGATAAGTTTCTCCCGCCACCTTTAAAAGCGAAGTGTTCGGAGGAGCTGCAAGTAAGTTCCTTTTAGATTCTGATTATCAAAATTTAGGTTCCTATACGGGTTATATAAAGCATAGAACTGTTCAGCTTGGAGATAGATTCTTGTCATTGATGTTTTCAGTATCAATTGATAAAGCCTGATCTTATATTTCTTAAGTCATATCTGTTTAGCTTAGTGTTCTACTGTTATGAGCTCTTTGTATTTGAATATCAGAACTCTTTTGAGGCTTTGTCCATGGCATGCATCTGATAATTCGTGGTTTCACTTTGTAAAGATGAGGCGTTCCCCCCACCCCCAATTGAAGCTAAATAGAAACAAACATTTGACATGTAACCTTATATTTGTGAAACTCTATTTGAAATCTGTCAAGCTTTTTGATCTGTTGCTAAACTGCTGCTATGAATACTATTTGAAACCTATAGCATGACAGATGATTCTCTTTGTTGACACTTTAGCACATTTATCTTTTCTGTTTGAATCTAGAGACATGGAACCCATATGGGTTTATATATAGAAAGGGATTTTGGATGGTCCATGAGCGGTAGGTCTCGGGTTCGAGACTTGGAAGCAGCCTCTCCATAAATGGGGGTAAGGCTAGCCGACATTCACCTCTCCCAGACCCTGCGTAAAGCGGGAGCCTTGTGCACTGGGTACGACCTTTAAGAAGGGCTGGGTAAGAGAAACGTGTAGGGATGTAAAATGAGTATATTCTAGATCAGAGTTTCGGATCATCTATTTCTTGATTTGATCAGCATTGTTAATTATAGCTAACAGATAACTTTTTCAGAAGAAACACTCACAATCGAAATTCTTGATGAAATTTGTCAGAATCTGTGAGGGAGTGAATCATTATGAGTCCCTCAAGGATTTGTCGAAACATAATAGCTACGCCTTACAGAATATGGGTCATAGGTTCTTATAAATGCCTATGTGGCTTTTCTTCCTTTGATAAGTCATTTCATGTTGTGTATATGTTCTTCTCAAAAAAAAAATGTTCTGTATATGGAACTTTTGAGTTTCTTCTTACTGCAGAGGAAGATAAATAAGTTTCTTGAATACAAGAGAGCCGGGAAAAGCTTCAATGCAGAAGTGCGTAATAAGAAGGACTATCGGAATCCAAACTTTCTAGTGCATGCGGTGAGGTATCAAGATATTGATCAGATAGGGTCTTGCTTCAGTAAAGATGTATTTGACCCTCATGGATATGACAAAAGTGACTACTGTGATGAAATAGGTTACTCACTATTTTTCAACTCTCTCTTTCTGTGTGTTTCCTGTCATGGTTCAGTGCTCTGTTTAACTTAGAACTTATTATATAATACTAGCTTTTCATGTACACCCTCTGTCAACTTAGTTATTATGGTTAGTGATAAATTTATTTATTTATTTTTTTGAAATTTACTCTGATAGACTGTTTTGTATGTGGAGGGTGGTATTCAAAAAATTATAGTAAAAAACTTCTGTATTCTATAAATAAACGGATAATCTTCTGCTATTATAATTACCAAAATCATAGACTATAATGAAGAGGATGATATCTTGTTTTTCCATACTGAATTAAGTTTTACAACTTTGTTAGTCTTATTGTGCTTTCCTTCAGCCAATCGGAGATGTGTGAAATCTGGAATGCGTTCTGCTTATGTTTTTTATGTTTTGGTAACCAGAGGCTGATATGAGGCGCGAAATGGAAAGGAAAGAGCAAGACAGGAAGAAGAGTCAAAAGGTTGAATATGTTTCAGGAGGAACACAGCCTGGAATAGTTGGTGCCGCACCTAAAATTAACGTACCTTTTACAGGTTTGAACAAATTTAATTTTAAACTTAGTGGGATAAGGCTTTGTTGTTGTTGTTGTTGGTAGGAAAGAGTGATTAGGCATATGCTAATTCCAAACAACTTTATTACCTGACCCAAGGCCTTTGCCGATCGCCTTAGTAGTTAATTTAATGGGTGATCCTAGCCTTTCAAGTGCTTTCTCTTTTGTTTTATTCTCGTAAGTTCTCTTATACTATGTCATTCTGCAGGTGTTTCAACCATGGCTGCTACTGGGTTGAACTCCTTACCTCCTGCAGCTGATGCCATCCCTCGGGAGGGTAGACAGAATAAGAAGTCAAAATGGGATAAGGTTTCAATCTAGGGATGTGCATGTTTATTTCCCTACAAATTGTGAGAGAGATCAATTGACCAACTGTTTCGAATTATGTTCTTCATTCAGGTAGATGGTGATCGAAAAAATCCTCTTCCCTCAGGATTGCAGGATTCTATGTCTACCGTGGGGACTCATGCATCACTCCTATCTTCTGCTAGTGCTGGTGCTGGATACATGGCTTTTGCGTAAGTATTGTTAACATCTTTCTGTCTTATTTTGCTCGTCTATCGTGAATTCCTTTCCTGTTCTTGGTGTCCACTGTCAACTGAAGCAGACAGACCATGTCATGACAGTTTTTTCTTCGCTCATGTATAAATCAGTTGATTGTGAACTTGAACTTGTGTTCTCATGCTGGCAATCCTTTCCCGACTTCTCACAAGATGATCACTTTGCTCCAATTTGGCAGGCAGCAGAGACGGAGAGAGGTGGAGGAGAAACGATCTAGTGAAAGGAAGTTAGACAGAAGATCTTGAGTCCTTTCTTATCTTCCTAGCAGAGACCAAATCGCGGAGCGAGTTGCAGGCATCATATTCCCAGATTTCAAATTTTCAAGTGGATAAAATGCCCCCGGCCAATACCATTTTTTCACCTTTAGATGAACTGCAGCGGGCTTGTAATTTATCGCTATCAAATTATACACATGTACATGTTTCAGAATGAAATTTCACTTGATAGCTGTTACAATTCGACGGAATTGAAGCTCTAGTTTTCCTTCAATGGAATTGGAACCCAACAAGTACTTTAGTTTGGGCCAAGCCTCCCACATTCATGTTAGTTAAATTTTAGTATTTGAATTTCTTCGATGTGGTCGATATTTCTCTAAGAAATATTAGAAAAATCATGAAAGATATGAAAGGGGAGGCATATCGAAGAAAATTTTAAATTTTGTCTAAACAGTCTACACAATTTAATTTTTTTTTTTTTGAATTTTTATTATTTTCATTGAAAGCAATTGATATCGATTCGATACATCTATTGATATTTTCACAAATTTACATATCAATAATTTTTCCGATACCGATACTTTAAACTATAATTAAACTAAAGAATCGACATGCAATGGTAATAAAATTGTAGTTGTTACCACTGATTAAGGATGTCCCTTGGACCTTGTAGCTCCTAGCATCCTATAATATTAGCATACAAAAAGTTATTGTTGTCCAGCTTTCACTCCCTTTTATCTGTCCCTACCCTTTTTGACCCCACTCTTATACCTAGACTATTAACCGAAATAATTTTATAAAATAATAATCAATTCGGCACTGTTTGGTTAACATACATTCTTAATCACTTTTCTAACAAATTAAGTTATTTAGTTCTCAATATTTGTTTAAAAGAATTTGGAGTTTTGGTTGCATGCAAGGTAAATGATCTTGATTACTTGGGTTGCAAGTCTGTATTCTCATGCATTGTCTCTAAATTCTTTTGAAACAGATTCGAAGAGTTCTTTAGTAGAGTTATCAGTTGACAGATCAAGAAGTGGATCAAGAAGTGAACAAATAAAGGGATTTGGATCCCATACGGATTCAAATTGTGAGGATGCTAGAGATTCTCATATTTTAGTCATTCATCGTGTATCATGCGATCATAAATCATTTGACATTTTTTTTATTTGAAATTAAACACAAATAGTACCTGACGAAAATTTACCGCGCGATATAAAATGAACAACTAGGATGTCAGAATTTCTATAATTTCCACAAAATGAATCCGGAAAGGTTCCTCTTCCCAAATGAAGTAACCAATAATAGATCATTTTATAAAGATCAAGAAAAGACTGGCTATTAGTAAAGCGATCCATTTGGATTGTCTTTTCTTGGATGCATAAATCACCTTTTTATCTATATATATAATAAGGTTAATGTCACCATTACATGTACATTCCATGTTCCGGCCGAAAGGAGTCCCTGATCTGCAAGAGAATGTAAAGAAGTCGGGGATGCGGATTGACGACCCTACCTCACCTCATCTCTTTCACACTAGATATAAACTCTCCTGTAATAAAAAAAAAACATCATTCGGTAGTATTTGTTGAATGAATGATATACTTTTTAAACACGTGACAATCATTTATTAAAATTATGTATTAGTTGCAAAAAAGTATCTCTCCTTATGCTTAAACTCATCACTTTGTGGTTTCTAATAATTGACATCATTTAATTTCTTGTAATTGGCATCTTACTCTCATTATTCTACAGTCGTTTTCTTTTCCTTGTATATAAGTTGTAGTTCCATTCGTTAGTTTCCTCCACCACTAAGAAAGTTGGTCATCGTCAAAAGTAACCTGTACGTGGACCCTTCGACAAAATCATCCATTCTTCCACTCGTTTTTTATTTGTTCTACATCCCACATAATCATCCATGATTGCACGGCCTTAACTCTCCTTGTGCAAAGGATGCTTTTGTTGGCTTTGACCAGGATAACTATTCTTTTTTTGAGATAAATTATCATTATGTAGGGTTCCTCTGCATGCTTTTAAACAATTTAGCAACACATAACACGTACCAATTATACCACCAAACTACGAATCTAAACTATTCATGCATAAAAGTGTTAAAAAAAAAGAACTGTGCATGCAGTGGCGGATGCATTAAGGGACTTCAGGCCATCTGAAAGCCTGGTGGTTGTGTGAGACTTCCGAGGACCACCTAAGTTTGTGCATTTGGTGGAGGAGAATAGTTTAGCAGCAAACCGGAAGCTGTAGGTTTTGCATTGTTTTTTCTTGTATTAACATCGAAACTATCATGATATGTTTTCAGTGTATGAAACCTCGTTGTAGATAGTTTTAGTTTTTGTAACTTATAATGTTGTTTGTACAAAAATTATGAATGAAACGTTCATAGTTTACTATTTAAAATTTTAGTATTATTTTCATAAGAACTTTATATTGGGATCCCTCAATAGTAAAATCCTGAATTTATCAATGAGTTTGTCCTCGTGCATTAAAGTGAAAGACGCATGTACGTAGTTAATACATTGGAATCATATGCATGGACGTTATGTAGAAGCATGCATGTTTAATCTGAAGAGTGAAGAGTATCTATCTTTATAAATAAATGTAACATCTAACATGAAGCGCAGTGCATGCAATAAGACTAATAAGTTGATGGTTTGAACCTTATGATCCCTAAAAGAAAAATAAAGTAGATTAAAGTTAGCTTTCTGGTGATATACAACTTGAATGGATATATATGTCCAGGCGTCCAGCTATGAGGCCAATCGCATGGAGGGGAAGAATATCTTAATGGAAATTCTGTTTTCTTTTCGGCCACTGCCTGGACTTTATCCTGCAGCAATGGTAGTGGGATGGGCTTGGGGCAGGTTGTTTTCACTTTTTATATATATTTACATGATTTATGTCATATTCTCTGGATTCATGTTTCCTATATATATATATATAACAGTTAGCACATCCATGACGAAGGTAATATAATTATATATCCTTTAGATAATTCCTCGAAAGTGATGATTAAACATAAAGCTTTTGCTCTCCGTTTTGCTTTCGGGGCAAATGGCTTTAACATGGGGTAATACATTATTATGTAAATTATGGGATATACGTGTTAAAAAATTAATAATTTAAAAAATATAATTTTTCATCATTTATATAAAATACGTGATGTATTATCTGTATTCCGGTTATAATAAAAAATTCCTCATCTTATTGCTCGGTTACTAGAACACATGGTGTGTATGCAAATTACAATCTGCGCAGAGAAATTAGAGCAATTATTTTGACATTTGGATTGTAAAAAGAGAGTTTTAACGAAACACTTTTGGTATTGTTCACTTTTAACGAGAAACCATATTTTTATTTTTTCTTGGTACTATTTACTATATCTTTATTTGTCATTTTTCATTAAAACTAAAGTTTTTTTAAACTTTTCGTTAATTTTTTTTGTAAAATGATTATTTGCTAGTAACCGCCATATGTTGATTTTATATCCATGATACGATATAATGACAACTGATCATTTCTACAACAAAATTTCAAAATATGTTTTTTAATTGCTGCTAGTTTCCCAAGAAAATATGTTCTTGTTGACCTTAAAAACTACTAAGCCTACGTGGCACGCAGGCCGAGTAATCTATAAGCTAACTACGTCCTTCGGTGAATGCAGGGCATGCTAACTCGTTGGCCGAGCTCGGCCGATGAGTAAAATTTGTTGATGTTGCATTGGGTCGCGCTACTGACTTTTGCGTCTTGCGATTGCGGCCGAGAAAGGAACACGTCTCGGCCTCTTGGATTCTCGAGCCTGAAGACAAGGCTACTATTCTTACGAAGTTCACGAATCGAATTCGGCTTTCAATTTGCCGAATGTAATAACTGTAACACCTCACTTTGCCGAGAAGGCTGATGAGATGACCTCGACCAATAAGGATTCAGGAATCCTTCTCGACCTTGACTTGGATAGGTAATCAATCGTTCTTGCCGTAGTGCTGTTGATGCCAACGGAAATGCTGCGAGACCGACTGACTCTACGGTGACAGAGCTATCTATGCCGACTTAAGATATCACCGGTTGCTTTCACAGTGCTGTTGATGCCAACGGAAGATGTGTCAACGAAAAGAGAATAAAAAAAATCTCAAAGTTGTTGAGAGAGTTTGCGCAGGGCAGTTTTGTGTTAAATTGCAGGGGGCTTGCACTATGTACAACCTCTTCTATTTATAGCAACGGATACCCTCAAGGTCGAGTTAAAACCCTATTTGGACTAGGACTTCTTCTCCTGATCAAACACTAACTCGACCAATCCTATTTTCACTATGATTGTGAACCTAGTCCTTTATTGAACCGAATTCACTTCCGGGTTATTGGTCCTGCCGAGACTCCTTATTGCACCAGGACTCGACTTGTCTTGCGTCATGACCTAGCCGTCATAGGTTTGGAGGCCCACGTACTGAACGATCCATAGCACCCATGTCGCAAGGCCTTTCGGGCAGAGAATGATTCTATACTCGGCCCAAACTGATATTTTGGGCCCAAACATTGCCCCCTCGCTTCTGAGGTCCTCGGCCTGAATTCTTTGGTCGAGCTTCGACCTTGAAGAAGCGAATCTACTACTCAGAACCCAAGTGCTCTATTTCCAAGGCGCATTTATTGAGCACAATTGCACGATCTTGGTCCTGCTGACCAACACACCACGTGGCATCCCTTAACACGGCCAATCCCTAATAATGACGTCTGAGGCGTGCGGCTTCTTGAACCGTCATGCCATTATGGCCTTATTGCTGATCATAACCATGCTACCTCAATCCGCGAGCTTTTCGTCATCGTGCAGACACCAAAACGTCTTTCACCGTAAATCTCGCCGCCACACGCAATCGTGCGCCCCCAAAACCTAAGACCTTCGGTCTTCTCAACTGCATTTCCTGAATGTCCATAATGATTAGCAATTTCTTCGGTCGATTTTACCCTTTATTTTGAATTTCGAACGATTTCCCTTCCTTCCACCACTCTATAAATACCGAAATTCTCTCATTTGTACTTTACGCTTTCAAATTTTCTGAAATTTCTTGCTATCGTTCTCCAGTGCATTTCTTTCTTCTAAGTCTTTGTCTTCAACCTTTAACCCAGAAAGTTCTTTTCCTGTCATTCCTTCAAACCATTCATCATGGCCTCCTTTATCTCCAAGCTTTCCAAGGAGTGTGACCAATGTCAGAAGATCATCGATCGGAGTTCAATCAAGACCATCCGATTTGAGAGCGACATGAGCACCCCTCATCAAATCTTGGGTCCTCTCTTTAAGGCGGCGGTGCCATCGACCATTACTGCACTTCTCCAGGAGCATTGCTTATCACCCTTGCTACA